TGTTAGATACTCTTTTACATCAATACAGATGAAGGGACAGAGATAAAATTTGGAACAGGGGCGGATTATGGTCTGGAATAACACACAGGCGACTTTTAGTCCCACGAGACGCGGGCCAAGCCGCTGGCAGAAGCTAGTTTATAATATTTGTAAAACAAATGTTTTACTAACCATTTGCCTCAAATAAACTTCACGTTCATGCCTCTGTTTCCTCCATTGTTCCTCCGACTCAAACTCTTCCTCTTGCGTATCGGCAAATTCGTCCGGTACCGTACCAGCATCATCATCGTCACCTGCAAATGGAAAAAAATATGTAATACAAAATTAAATGTATGTAATGTTTTTCAGATTCAATAGCTTGGTTTTCATGTGATAGGCGGCATACGAGATGACAGATAAAATTATGGAAAGCGCCGTGTGTGGCCGCCGGCAATGAAAGAGGAATTAAAGCTTTCAAGTGTGTTGCTGAACCTTTTTAGAGTTGCATCTAAACAAAGCAAGGAGGAGAAGGATATTATTATATAATATAATGATATAATTTTTTTTAAGTATCTAAATTTAAAACCCTTTAGTTTCATAATGTGGTCTTAGTATGCACTCAGTAACTGATCAGTTATGTTTAACCTAAGAACTGTGATGTGAAGTGATGTGTGGAATTCTACCTGCATTCCTCCATCTGAATTTCCTCTGGCGATGACCATCGCCGAGGTCCCCGTCTTCGAACAACAACTCTTGTATCAATCTCACTTCTCTCTTGTCTTGGTCCAGCACATCACGCCTGAAAGCATATTCGTTAACATAAAATATAACCGTTATTTGCAATTGTTGTGAAACAGAAAGCGGAAGGGGAGATTGGTTTAAAGATTTCATGTTACTACTGTGAATTTTCAAAAATCATAAAACGTCATGGCTAACACGGGAATCAAAGACTGCGTCCCCAAGATCAACGAGTATAGCGTTATCCAGTCTTGTTTTGTGAGAAACGATATAGAAAACATCTTTTTATTGCTTACATAAAGGCAATGCATATTTAGCGAAAGACACCCAAAACCCTACAAACTGTATTAACTCGTCGAGTACCGGTTTTGCAGACACAATTATAGAACAATAGGTTGCGGTCACCGGTGACCGCTTGGTGTTTGACAGTTTAAATTACTAAAGTACAGTAGAAGTATTCATACGTACATATGTATCTGTCCCAGTTCTTTTCGTAGTTTTCCCTGGTGGAATACCTCGTCGTCTCCTTCTTCTCTCTCCATCCTGTCCAGACCCTTCTCATCCTCATCACCAGACCCCACCCATTCATCTTCACTCGTCAACTCAGCCTCTTGCTCAAAGAAGTCCGTCACTTTACGTTTCTTCTTTGGTTTATCTATTTTTACTTCAATCTGGAAATGTGATACAAGATAATGTTAGTTTTTTAGGCAGTTTCAATTCTGCAGAGTTTGAGATCAATGTCACCATGTGACAGTCCACTGCTAGACTACAGGCCCCTTATACATAAGAATGTTTTAACATATAATTATAATTCATTATTATTTTAAATTATATACCTCATTTTCCTCAGAGTCATATTCCACTAATCTCTCGTTATCTTCTTCTAAGTCTGACATATCATCATCTTCCATTTGGTTCTCCTCCTCTTCATCTTCATCATCTAAAAATAGATACAAAATCTTTTACTCGTCGCCTTTTAAGTATTTAGACTGGGTTGCAAATAATTTTCAGTGATAGTTTTTTTAAGGCATAAGCCGGTAAACGAACAGACGGATCACCTGATGGTAAGCAATCGGCGTCGCCTATGGACACTTGGAACATCAGAGGCGTTACAAGTGCATTACCGGCCTTTTGGGGATTAGGAGTTTGAGGATCGTTGGGGATTCAGGAATTGGGGAAATTGGGGAAGGGGAGGGTAATTGGGCCTACGGTAACCTCACTCACACGACGAAACACAACGCAAGCGTTGCTTTACGTCGGTTTTCTGGCCCATTCGTGCCGAAGCATGGAAATATATAGTATAGTATAGTATAATAGATAGTTCAGAATATCATGTAATATGCAATGCATTACATGACATTACATTACCTTTTTTAACCCTCATTTTCTGAATTAATAAAATATAAGGCCAAAATTGGTGTTAAGAGCTGAGATACAAGAAATACGTAATTTTAAGTATACACACATTAGAAATAAGCAATAAAACCCAAAAACACATACCTGAGATTTGCAGTGCCCTCTTTTCTGGTCGTTTCTTCTTCAATTTCTTTTTCTTTGCTTGTTCAGAGTCTACATTAACTTCAGCTGCCTCATCATCAGAATCTATTACAAACTTCTTTTTCATTTGAGTGTTTTCTAGAACTTTGGCACTATCTTTCTTTTGTGTACCACCAGTGAAGAATTTGTTTTCTTTCGGTTTATCGAATTCTGGGTCATGTAACTCATCTAGTATGGACTTGAGAAGGTTTCCATCGGGTTCGTCTGGCTTAGGAGAATTCTCCTTAATCCTATTTTGGTCTTCTATAATTGCACTTTCTTTATCAATTCCTAATTCATTGTCATCTTTATTTAGTACTCCATTCGCGGTTTTATCAAGTTGAGTATCACCAATTTTATCTAGGGATAATTGTTGTGTGAAGTCGTCCACATATTGATTTTCCTCAGTTGGTGATACAAATTCATTGTCATAGAACTTGCCAGTACATAGAGCTAATACATCTTCGCCAAGTGGTTGTGACTGTGATGTTTCGGATATTGGGAGCTGTGAACCCTCCACAATACCATCTATACTTGGCTGGAGGTAAATAAAGATTAATGTTATAAAGTTGAACTATGGTAATAATTAATACCAGAAAAGAACCATCCATAGGTATTCATGTATTCAATATTGTCATAATTATTGATGATTATTAATAATACCATTGTCATAATTAATGACTCTAATCTAATCTACTTTTATTTAAATAAAGAGATATGAATGTGGAGGAAGCACGAGGAAGCATTATGGAGCACAAGAGTCAACGGAGTGTCAATATATAGTCCTTCTAGTCTTTCTGGCAGGCAAGATTATCTAGATAAATAAACTGCACATATATAATGAACTAGTGACCCGCCTGGCTTCGATGGTAATCAGTGTTTTTCAGTACTGTATTATGCATTTCTCTTGAATCACCCCTATTAAAAAACCTTAATATCAAAACATGTTGCCTAGTTTTATAGATCTAAGCATAAATAAGAGCTGAAAAGGCTACGATGGGCTAACATATCTATGATTAAAAGCCTCTAAAAGATTTAGAAAAATAGATACTGACTAACAGAAAAAGTAACTTTTATACTATGTAGTGAAGTCAATACTTACATCATGATAAGGCTGAGACATACACAAAATATTTAATTTGCTAGGAGATTGTAGTTCGACATCCATATTTAATTTACTTGGAGATTGTAATCCAGATGTTGTAGTCTCTAAGATCGAAAATGTCTGAGTGCCTAGGACTTCATCACCGACACTATTCCCGTCTTTCGCCTGATCAATGAGTGTGCTCTCTTGACTTGCAAAAAGGTCATCTGATACGGATTGGTGTCTCTGCGCTAGTTGAATGACGTCATCTAAAAAGAATAATGAATATTAATTCTTAAACCAAATTGACAAACATGCATGAAGCTTGAGTTCATTTCCTACTTGGCATTCTTATTTTTTCTACTTAACTATTATAGGATTTTCTCCTGCGCCGTAAGTTCACATAGACACAACTGGTTGCCCAGTCAATGTGCTCTAATCATGCAGTTTTAAATAACTGCCGTATATACATTTTTCTTACTGAAAAAACCTATACCTAATGTATAAATTAATTGACAGAGAATATTCAACTGAGATAAGCACCTTGTGATGAACTTCCACCTTCATTTGGAGTTTCAGCCAAATCAGCATTGTTTGTTTCTGCAACTCCATCAGCATTATTTGTTACCACAAATGCTTGATCATCATTTATTTTGGTTTCCATAACTTTTTCAGTGTCAGTAACTAATTCTTTTGTTTCCTTCTCCGTAACTATCGAGTCTTCATCATCAGAATCCTCAAATGCCTTTAATATCCTTCCTTTCCTAGGTTTACTTGTTTCTTCTTCTTCTTCAGACTCCGAGGACTCTTCTTCACTGGAATCATCATCTCTATCATCCTCTTGTCCACCATCATCATCAACTTCATCATTGTTTTCATCATCCTTTGCTATGCCTTCACCTTCTTCATCACAATCTGATTCCTCTGCTTCCTCATCAACCATTGGGTTATGTTTTCTAGGTTTATCTTTTATTTCAATGTCATTTTCTTCCAATTTTTCCTCTTCTTCACTTTCTGAACTTTCTCCCTCTTTCTCTGCCTCAGTCTCTTCTAATTTTTCTTCAATTTTCTCAATACTGTCTTCAGCATCAGCATCATCTAAGATGGTGTCCATTTCCATATGCTGTTGTTTCTCCTCTTCTAAACGTTTGGCCCATTCAAGGGATCTTTGTTCTGCTATTTGTTCTTCAAGCTCTTGTTTCAATTTCAAATGTTGAGCACCTGGTTTTATCCTGGAACCAAAAAAAGATTGACACTCAAAAGAACCATTTGATGATGTTTTATTGGGATACACTCAATATATATTTATGTATTGTATTTGTATGTGTACAAAAAGAAATCAAAAGCGTTGCTTCGAGTTGAAAAAGCATGCAAATGAACTTACTTTTCTTTACAATTAATATTCTAATAAATTTTAGAGACCAGGTTTAAATAGAAAAAATAATACTAACCTCTTTTCCTTCTCTCTTTCAAGTTCCTCGGGAGTTTTTAACTTCGCAAAGTATGTAAATCTCTCTTTTAACAGTTCAACACCAGTCTTCTTGGACATAACAGAACCACAGTCCAAGTCAATAACCATGCCAGGAGCACCAGTCAATTTAGGTTTAGCATTTAAATTGGGCGGATCTTTTACAAGCATTGGAGAACTAATATTATCATCATCTGAAAGCACAAAAAATAGGTAGAATGTAACAAGTTTTTGTGCCTAATTAAAAAAGAATTAAAAAATAAGATTGTAGAATAAATATAAACCTCTTAAAATTTCAGCATTTTCAATGAGTTTATCAATATCTTCCATATTAACATCATCATCTGAGAAGAAATCTTCATTTACCACTTCATTGCTTTGTTCATGAACATCATTATCTTTAGTTTTAGTAACAATAGTAATAGCTTCAGGTTTTTCCATATTTTCTTCTATTTGTTCTGTATTGTTTTCAGTATAATGTAAGGATATCAATTGACTCTCTTCCTCAGTATTCCCTTCAGTTTGTAGCTCAGAATCATTATCGTTTTCAACATTATTTTCAGGTACTTTGACTTTATCAGTAACCTCTTTATTAGTAATGTCTGTACTATCCTTCTCATCTAGTTTTATTTGTTCTTCTTCTACGGAATCATTGTAAACCAATTTGAAATCTGTATTGGAATCATCTTTGACAGAATTATTTTGTTCATCATTTGGCCCCTTTGTATTTTCATTATCATTGTCATTCTTTATGCTATCACCTGCTGTACTATGTAATAAATCGCCTTCAGAAGAAATTATGTTTGTTACAATTTCCTCTACTATTTTCTCAGTGTCTACATTATCATTCATGACAGCAGGCATATCATTGTCTAGATTTTCTACTAAACCATTTGAATCACAATTCTTAGTGGGTATTTCGTCTACTGTTTTAGCAATATCAAATGATTTCTCTGTTTCCTGATCAGTATTTTCACATTTTTCTTCAGTGTCAGGAGTGTCTTCATCAGATTCACTTTTGCATAATTCCATCATTTCCTTCTGTCTCTGTTCTAATAATGATCTGAAAAGGAAATAATAATATTTTCATTTTCTTTATTGTGCAGATTTGAAATCAAACAGATTGAGTTTACTGCAAGTACAGTATAGAACATATTCTTATGGAAAAAAGATCTTCTTTTAAGGTTAATGAATATGCAACTAAGTACAAAGGAAGATTCATGAACCATACAAATCAGCTCACCAGGGCTCTGGTTGATAATAACAGGGATATCACAAGGCTCAAAAAACTTGACAAATACTGCAACTAGATACAAGACACTAATTAATGTAATTAAAAAAAAATTCCATTTCTGAACTACATGCAGAACTTACGCATAATGTTTCAACTGCTCTTCATTCATTTTAATAGGTAGAGCTTTTCCATCAGATGCTACCGCAGGCTTCCTTCTGGACATAATATCTTTGAGGGACAGGGCTTTAGGTCTGTGGTATGGCAATGATACTGCCTTCTCTCGCAGCATGCGATTTGACTCACTTTTAATTAACTGCATATTCTCCATTGCTTGTTTAGCTGACATCTGAGAACATATAATTAGCTAATTAATACTAAGTAAAACAATAGTGTACAAAAAAATAATGGATGGTTCATTAGTGGAACATGGATAAGTCATATAATAACTTCTAAAACTGAATTATCATTTACAAAACAAATATGATTCAGTTAAAGGATGTCTATATTTTTTTTTTCAATATTAATGGATTAATGTGGTGATCAAGGCTAATGAAATAATAGACTTAGAACGGAACTTCTTATGTCCCACTGTACCTTGAAAATATTGTTTAACAAACAGAGGTGAAATTATAATATTTAATGATTTAGAATTATAATATTAATGTTTTATTTCAGGGCTGTCCAAACTATATACCCTCGTGGGCTAATTTAATTTCTTACAAAAGCTAGTGGACCAGAAAAGTATTTTCAGTTGTATAATGACATTTAACATTTTATTATTTACTCATAGACAAAACTTGCGTACAAATCATACACTGAATTTTATTATTGTTGTTGCACATAAGATGAAGATGTTGAGATTAAAATGTGTGTCACGGGCCACATGAAAAACAAGACCGCATTGGACCACCAGCCTTTGTTTGGAAAGCCCTGTTTTATTTAATGCAAGTAACAGATTTCAAGAGTGGGACTAAGAAGACCATATTTAAACTGAAGATTATCTTTTGGATGATTAGTCTTTTCTAGTTTTTATAACAAGTACTTACTCTAACTGGCTTGGGTTCAATTAGTTTTGTAGATTTCTGTTTCCTGGGCTTCTGTTTTGGTTTTGCATTCGTTGTGCTCTCTTCATCTGATGTGTCTGGATCACATATTGAAGACATAGTTGCCATACTCTTTTTCATTTTCTGACAAATTAAAAACATTTAAATAAATAATTGTATTTTCTATAATGATATATTTACAAATAAATTAATCAAGTAAAGAAAATAAATAAAGCATATAGATAAAATTTTCAGAGAATTAAGTGTGCGATGTTAATTGTTAGGTATCAACAATAGATTTTTTTAAATTGTACACTTATCAATTTAAAATTAGCATTAGAGAGTACAAGATCCCAGATTTTTACTTACATCGGTTGCAAAAAAACAAAGTATCAGGTTACTTTGTTTTGTTCACTGTAAGTATTCATAGGTTATATAAAATAATAATCCATGTATGCTCAAAGACATTTTAAAAAATGGTACCTAGTATATGAAGTTACATACCTGTTTTATTTTGGAAATAGATGACATCTCCTCATCAGAAGCATCTGACACTGCATTGTGACTGCCCTCCGATTCATTACTACTATTTTCTTGTAGTGTATGTTTCTCTCTAGAATTCATCAGGCTCTTGAACTTATCCTTCAACTTATTCCTCTTATTTTTCATCCTTATTTGTTGTCCCTCATTCTTTACACTTCTATGTTTGTTTGATGTGTCAGAATCAGAAGAAATATCCATGTGAATCCTAGATTTGATTTTGCCGCTTTTAATAGGAACAATCTCTGATTCACTATCACTCTCACTGGGTTGGATACCATCTTGGATATTTACTTCTAAGTTTTCTTTCTCTGTATCACTATCAGATAAATTCTGTATTCGTTTCTTCGCTCTTTGTATAGGACCACCTTCATCATCACTCGAGTTTAAACTATTTAAAGTCTTCTCTGCAATATCCAGTGACTCCATGTCAGAAGAACCACGACGAGACAGCATTATTGACTACGTACCGATTAATTGGAACCAAAGATAAATAAACTACTTTTCCAAAGTCACTGAAGTTATCTCGATCAAAATAAGTAACATTTTCGAAATAAATCCGAATCCGTAATAAAAACCAACAAGTAAGCAAATTACATGTATAAAAACCACAAAGTAGGGCACAAGCTACCACAAGAGAAAATATTCGCGCCAAAATATATCATCTGCAGCTGTGACAGCTGTCACAACACAACTGGCACTTGCGCTGCTGCGCACCACAGACCTACTATAATATGGACCAGAAATACCTACAAAATACGCGTGCATACCTACTAGAAACCGCGGCCTAAATATGGCTGCCATTGCTAGGGAAGACTGTAGTCAAAACCAAAAAGTATCGATATCGATAGCCAAGTTTTATACATTAAAAATCTTCTGGTACTTTGGATGTTTTTTTAAGGTACAAATCATCGAATGACTTCTAGCGCTCTGGGTATAGCGGGGGGCACGTCAGACTATTACTGGCTAAAACCATACCCAAATGTCCCCGTTTAGTATCTCTTATCTCTCTCTACCGGTCTCCGGTGCATAGTCCACAAAATGGTGGCACCGGGGTGTTTCTTCCGCCTGAATCCGATACAGGAACTTAAGCGCTTGTGTGCTCGTAAAAATAAATGGTTTAAAAAAATACCAGTATGTGTTGTAATTTTTTATTGAAGAATAATACTGCAAAGTGTAATGAACAAATACGTGACGCTTTAAGTCCAGGTTTGATATTTTTCGTCCCAATGACTTCAAGCCACTTCTGACGCAGCACTTCATTTTTAGGGAATCTGTTGAAATAAAAAAAAACATAAAAATTATTTCAGTTTTGTGCATTTAGTGGAACACATTATAAAATGACAGCACCTACTGTATGGAGAATTAATATTATTGTTTTGGTACTATCCCTATTTTTATTTCTATTCTGTAAGATTTATTTTCAAAATCGTCTCTTCAGACCCTTTACAAACTAAAAATATGTTAGTTTCTTATCGATATGTTATTAAATAAAATACATCACTATTGTAAATCGTCATTTGTATTGTAAACAAAACATAAAACAAATTTAGCAAATGAAGTTAGTTATTAGAACCAAATGGAATGTACATTTGGGGGTTTTTATTCTATATATAAAACAAGGCTAGATAAACAAGAAAACTAATAGTATGATAAAGTTTTTCTTAAAATACGGCTACTAACCTGTGCATAGTCAAATGAGGTTGATTGGGGTTTTTCCTTGCCCCACACTGAATTATTGAACTAGTACACATATTGAATATGCACCACCAGACACTTACAGCACAAAACAATTTAGTTAGGAGCGTTTTTATTGATAAAAATCGCAATCCAAATCCAATGTTGTTGTTCGCTTGACACCTGACGTACTACAAAACTATACGGCCTAAAGATGGCGGCTGGCACGCGAGGTAGGTACCTTGTCAGAAATGTAGAAATGTTGCCAGGCAGAGAATAAACAAACAACATGACGTCTCTTTCTTCAAATGAGGTTACTCATTGATTAAAAAGGGACAAAGTGTGGTTTCATATTTCTATATCGATGTGATATATATTTGTATAAGCAAATAAGCTATAGATCATTACGGCGCATCTATATAATACTAAATCTATGCTGCGCACTGATTATGACGTTTACTTTTGTAAACCATAGACATACGTCTTTCTTTTAAAATGAATAAAAAAAATTAAAATAAAAGAAATAATAAAAACCCTCTAACAATAAAAAAGGTGTCAAAGTACTCGTCCGCATCACTATCACCGGGGGACGTTCCCAGAAGACTGGCAGCATTGCGTTTTACGTTGAATGGCAATGCTTATTTTCTTTCCGATGAAGTAGCCCTCTGGTCACGTATAGAGGCGATCAGCCTACGCGCTATCTTTATAGACAGAGTGTGCACTGGGACCCCATGTCCAGAGTGTTTCAACTCCAAATGGCTTAAAACAGTAGATAGCCACTAGATTTGAAAATTTACGCCATTTAAGGGCCACTGTCGCGGAAGCGGCCGGATCAGCGCACCTACCTACTTAGAAGATGTGATAGCGCAAGGGTGTCCACACACGTCGCGTCTCACACCAAAGCGCTACCCATCTTCCAAGACAGCAACGATTTATCATCTCTTCTCTTGCCGTCATCACGTACCATTAGATGTCGTTGATGCTGGCATGGCGATTTATGATGCCTGACTTCTGCAACAAGAAAGATCATTATGTCTGCGATTTTCTAAAAATAAAAGTACTCCTTAGTACATTAGTTACTGCCAATAAAAATCCGATCAAAATCGGTCCAGCCATTTCAAAGATTAGCCAGTACAAACAGACAGATAAAAAAATTAAATAGTGTTATTTTGGTACATGTATCGTATGTATATTCATAATAATGTAAATAGTAAAAAGCAGTTATTTCTATATTAGATACCGACAATTCAATTTTACTTATCTGTATAGATGTGAAAGTTCGTTTGTATGCTTGTTTGGATGTTGTGTTCAGTGTACGCGCCACGCTCAACAGAGCTGTACTGTAAGTGGTTTAAGTTCGATTTAACGCCAGTTCTTCAAACAAATGTAGCTCACACCATATCTGAGCTAAATACAGTTTTCGGTCTAAGTTCTGTGCAGTGAAACAAAAGTTATTACATACACTTTAATACATACACTTTATTATTACACTTACATACATTAAATGTATGAAGCGGGAAAAGTCTCCTGGGCATGATGGGCTCAGCATTGAGCATCTTCAAAATGCTGGTGTACACTTGCCAAGAGTATTGACCATGTTTTTAAATCTTTGTGTGGGCCATTCGCACCTTCCACAGGAGATGCTCGATACGTTGGTTGTACCTATTGTAAAAAACCGGACGGGAGACATAGCTGACAAAGGGAACTATAGGCCAATTTCATTGGCAACTGTAATAGCCAAAGTGTTTGACAGTGTGCTTGACGGGCACTTGAGTAACTGTACAAAACTACACGACACACAGTTCGGTTTTCGTGCGGGGCTTTCTACAGAGAGTGCAATATTAGCTTTAAAGCACACTGTCAAGTATTATACGGACAGATGGACACCAGTGTACGCTTGTTTCCTAGATCTTTCCAAAGCATTCGACCTAGTTTCATATAACGTGTTATGGGAGAAGCTTCGGGGGGCGGGAGTTCCGGCTGCATTGGTGTCAATATTATTTGTCTGGTATGAAAAGCAAAAGAACTTTGTTAAATGGTCCAATGCATTATCAGAGCCATATAAACTGAAATGTGGTGTAAGGCAGGGGGGTCTGACTTCCCCGAGAATATTTAATATCTATTTGAACAGCTTGCTTGTTGAGCTCAGCAGCACGCATGTCGGTTGTCATTTAGACGGAGTAAATTTAAATAATTTAAGTTACGCAGACGATATGGTGCTGCTTAGCCCCACAATCGGGGGAATAAGAAAGTTACTAACTATATGTGAAAGATACGCTAAACAGCATGGGCTGAAGTATAATCCCACGAAAAGTGAGCTTTTGGTATTTAAGGGAAAAAATAAAAGTCCTTCATATGTCCCACACGTAAAACTGAACGGATTACTTCTGAATAGGGTATCACAATTCAAATATCTGGGCCATATTGTGACAGAGGATTTAAAAGATGATCTAGATATGGAAAGGGAGCGCAGGGCGCTGGCTGTTAGGGGAAACATGTTGGCGCGCAGGTTTGCTGGTTGTTCAGCACCGGTTAAAATAACACTTTGTAAGGCGTTTTGTCAAATATTTTACACCAGCAGTCTGTGGGCTAATCATACTCAAATGGCGGACAGCGCACTGCGCATTCAATATAATAACGCCTTCAGGACGCTGTTGAGGCTTCCACCTTACTGTAGTGCGTCAGGTATGTTCGCGGATGCGCACACTGATGATTATTTCGCGATCATGCTCAAAAAAGTCGCATCAGTGTTGCGCAGACTGAGGGAGAGCAGCAACGGCGTTCTGAGGGTGTTTGCAGAAAGGCTAGAAGGGCCTACAATAGATAGATTTATCAAGCTGCATGTCAGACGTGGGGCTTGATAATGCTTCTAATAATAATCTGTTCTGTATTTGTATTTGTGTACCTATGTATTATTTTGTTATTGTATTTTTGTACTCGTGTGTTACTACTAACATAGTTTTTAAGTTTGTACTGTTTACTAACACTCTATGGGCCGTCGACGCCTGAAAATAAAAGATTTTTATTTATTTATTTATTACAATTTTAATTTCAAATAAATCTATCAACGGCTGACTCGCATTGACCGGCGTTGGTGGACACTGCCCCGCGCTGCCCCCTCTCCTACCCGCTCCGCCGTGCCGTGGCTACTCCGAGTGTGGTTGCGCTGTTGCCGCTCTGCTTCGCTATCGCTGTGCCACTTTCGCTGGATTTAAATTTCGCGCGCTCTGTTGCCGTTCTGCTACGCTCACTGGATTTAAATTTGAATTGTCGCATACACTGCTTGTGTGGTGTTTTATTTGCCTTGTTGCGCTAAATACAATGATACATGCGCTTGATATTAATATAATAATAATTATTGCATGAAACCCGCTTGCTTTTTAATTATGATTTGTTCTGCCTGTAACAATGCTATTGAAGGCGAGGAAGATTATCTCAGTTGCACGCGCTGTGAAAAATTATACCACCTGATTTGCACAGGTGCCCAGAGTGTCAATGTGTCAATAAAAGAGGTGGTGGTAATAGCTTCACCCCAGTGATAATAAAAATCGCACATGTTTTAAAATCAACAAATTTATTAAACATTAAAATGGCTACATGTCCAAAAATAATAAGAAATTAAAGGTCTCCTCCAATAGGAATATAGTCGGGCAAAACTTCTTTTTGTTTCGGCAACTCACAAATAACTGCTTCTGCGGTAGTAAGCAATGAAGCAACACCGCTGGCATCAGTTATTGCTCGTCTAACGACTTTCGTAGGATCAATAATGCCTCTTTCAATCATATTGACATATTCGTTATTTAAAGCATCATAGCCGTATTCAGGACTCATATCTTCCACTTTCGACACCACAACCGCGCCATTATATCCAGCATTACTAGCAATCGTTATACATGGTGTTCGTAAGGCTTTTTTCACTATGGACACACCTATTGCTTGATCAGAATTGGCAGGTTTTAATTTATCTAATGCAGGAATACACCGTAAAAGAGCTGCCCCGCCTCCAGGTACAATTCCTTCTTCAATAGCTGCCCGAGTAGCATTTAAAGCGTCATTTACTCGATCTTTTTTCTCATTTACTTCGACTTCACTGCAACCTCCGATCATTAAAACAGCAACACCCGCTTGAAGTCGACCTAAACGGTCGATAAGCCTCTCTCTATCAAAATTACTGGTAGCGTTTTCTAAATCATCTTTTATTTCAGCTATACGTTGTTCTACCTCTGTTGGATCACCTTTTCCTTTCAGTAAAAGCGTTGAATCTTTAGTTATTATAACTTCACCTACCACACCAAGACTTTCGGGTTGGCAATCTTCTAGTCTTATTAAGTTTGTATCATCTTCAAATACGGCTCCACCTGTTGCTGCAGCCATGTCATGTAAAGCACTTTTTCTGTATTCACCATACCCAGGAGCTTTAACTGCAACTACTGGCAATCCAATTTTCAATTTATTAACTACCAAAACTGACAAAGGCTCAGCGTCATAATCTTCCGCAACTATTACAAGAGGTTTCTTCTGTGCATTTGCTATCTCTAAAGCTGGCACTAATTGAGATGCAGTAAATATTTTCTTTTCCGAATATAAAATGTTAGCATCATTGTATTCGACTCTAGGGCCTTTGTTGGAATTTATAAAATATGGAGAAACAAAACCACGATCGAACTTCATCCCCTCTATCACTTCTAGTTCATCATTCAACGTTTTACCTTCTTTAACTGTAATAACGCCAGTTTTGCCAACTCTATTCATTGCTGCCGCAATTATTTTACCAATGCTTTTGTCCCCATTAGCAGATATAGTAGCTACTTGTTCTATCTCTTGCGCTGTGCTTACAGCCACAGACATTTCTTTCAGTTTGTCTTTCACAACTTCTACTGCTAACATAACTCCCTTTCTTATTTCAATTGGGTTAGCACCTCTAGAAATATTTTCAAATCCTTCCTTTGCAATGGCTCTCGCCAGGACTGTAGCAGTTGTTGTTCCATCTCCAGCTTCTTCATTAGTCTTGTGAGCAACATTTTGGACAAGTTTGGCACCAATGTTTTGGAACTTGTCTCTCAATTCTATACCTTTCGCAACAGTTACACCATCTTTAGTAATTTTAGGAGGGCCCATACCTTGTTCCAAGATCACATTGCGCCCTTTAGGTCCCATGGTGACGGCTACAGCATTGGCTAAGATATCAACTCCTTGTAACATGAGAGATCTAACATCCGGCCCGAACCTTACTTCTTTTGCGTAAAAACGACATGAATTTGCAGTTGGTATTTTCAGACTTTTAGAAGCATTTTGTATTATTCGCGGAATTCGGAGCATTTTTAGACATAAGTTTATAAAAAAGACTTTTAACTTGACGTAAACGTTTTCCAATTATAAAGTATTTGAAATTTGAATTTAACCAGGAACAGCGGCAGTGCGCGAAATATTGGAAAATAATTGAATGACTTGAATTAAGAATTTTTGATATATTTTTTTTGTCATTCATGGTGTGTAGACATACAAAAAGGTGGCCAATTCAATTTTATAAATTATAAACTTTAAAAAGTTCATATACCCTTTAGCAAACAAAGATAATAATAATTAATAATAATTATTTATTCATATACCTACCAACATCTAAATGCATCAAGCTCTGTCAGCCTCCTGAACTAAGCATTGCCTGTATCTCAGGAGGTAGTACCTTACTGTTACATTTCTGGTACGAATAGTGGTCACAGAAAAGAAGGCTTAATAACAATAACAGTGACATTATGAGTAACAATAAAGGTATAATAAAGAAATAAAGTATTTACGTGAGTATGTGTGCGTATAATTGTTATGTATGTAAGTATACAGTATATTTGTGTGTGTGTCTGTGTGTGTGTGTGTGTATGTGGGTGATTGAGTGGTAGGTGTGTACGTTTAGATGAGTAATATTGTCTGTGTGTATGTAATCGTGCGTGTTTGCATGTGGTTGTGATAGTCAGAGTGTGGATGAGTGTGTTTTGCTAAGAGTCCAATTTTAGTAGGCTTTCTGTTGTTGCATAATCCAGGCTCTGAAGGCACTCCTGTGTTTTGGTTTTTACTTTATGTCTGTTTAGTTCCAATACATTAAGTTTGAGATAGGCTTTTTTATACAGTATTGGTCCCAAGATGTAGTGCTGTCTTGCAGCAAAAGCGGTGTGGAGTGTTTCAGCTATGAGAAGGACTTTAGTTGTACGTCGCTTTTTACTGGGGACGGAGGGAGTAATTTGCCATGAGTTTTCAAAATTGATTGTTGCACAAAGAGCTGTCGCACACTCAATACTTTAGTGTCCTTGTATACTTGAGAGGTCGAATATTTATCGCATTACGTTCCAAAAACCCAGGAAATATTCGGACAGCCCTCTTTCGTGCACGCTCAAGTCCTAAGAACCTGGATTTGGATGCTCCCCCCAACTGTTGCCTTATACACCATTTGGAGTATTGTCGGGTCGGTAATGCGCCTAAGGCATTTAAAAATATAAATCAGTCTTCTGACCCTAGAGGATAGCTGGTGTAGGTGAGAATACCAGTTAAGTCTGTCATCAATTGTCACACCTAGGTATTTAACATTGCTTGCCCTTTTAAGAGATAGACAAGCGCACAGGGTTTCACAATTGTTGGATGAATGTGCAGTAATGGTAAAGGTTGTGGATGCTGATGTCCTCGGATAAGTATTAAAAGGTATAAAATTGGTCTTATCCAGATTGAGCGTGAGATAGTTTGATTTTAGCCACCCTATTATGGTTCTGAGACAGCGTTCGGCTGTGCCCCTGACCCGATCCCAATCATCCCCATAAACAATCACCGCTGTATCATCGGCGTACGTGAAAATCGAAGCATCTGAGAGAGGTAGGACACAGAGCTCATTTATATAAAGCTGAAAGAGAGTGGGGCCCAAAACACTACCCTGGGGGCACCAAAATCTGTACTCTGCTCTCCGCTGACATATTCATCAACCTTCACGCACATTTTCCGGTTGGTAAGGTAACTTCTGAACAGGTCCAGGGATAAATCACGTATACCAGCGTTCTCCAGTTTGCACAGTAGGGTAGGGACCTAGGGACAGAGACCGTGTGTGTGATACTTGTTTTTTACAATTGTATTATAGTTGCAATTGTATTAGAATTAGGTATATTATATTACTAGCGGCCCGTCCCGGCTTTGCACGGGGGGACCTAAGATTTTTTACATAGTTTTACGTTTTATTTCTATTTATTCTCAGTTTTTTTTTATTTAGAATAAAATTCATTCAAATTAGTTCAGCCGTTTAGAATAACTAACCTAGAAACCGACTGCAGCGTCATTTGCCGGGCTGATTTGTAAATCTAAACCATTCCCAGATCCCCTTGAACACACACAAAAAATTTCATCAATATCGGTCCAGTCGTTTGAGAGAAGTTCAGTGTCATACACACTCACAGAAGAATTATATATATAAAGATATAGCCACTAGGTATTTATCAATTTTATCCTAATTGTCTATTATCATTAAATAATATCATCATCATAATATATACCTGAAATGCTTAAGATTTTTTGTATATTGAATGTATGTACAACAAAAAACAGGACAGGACAAGGAAAGAACTTGTCTTGGAAGTGGTCAGTGTTATTGAGGGGAGGGAGATGATGACTATTACCTGATATTCTTAACCATAACAAGTGCCATAATAAAAAATATTATTCCTTTATAAATTTTCTATATTATGAGAAATTAAAATAATTTAAAACTAAAAGCTACATTTTTTACGGTTCCTCAACAAGTCAACACCTAGTATCGGAATTCAATAAATTAATATAATAGGATTCTCATACATTTTCAGTAGCACATACATTAAAATTATAGTAAACGTGGATATTTATTCAGATTTATAAATATTGACTATTTATCCCAAAAACACGCTTATCTCTATGTAGGTATAATAATAATGTCCTTTATTTCTAATGCCGACCTTAGTCCGGCCCCGTTTAAACTACAAATTGCGCATGATGTTTTTGGCTTCACAAATAGCTAATGATCAGTCTGCTTATCTATTTTAAGTCTGTGGGCATGGCCCCCTTTATATCTACGACGTGAAAAGTCCATGAGGATTTCCATCGGGCAATATATATATATGAAAAAATCCTCCTTCCCTTACTCTATGACCTGTTGTAGAAGTTATATTCTCTTTGATTACATTGTCTTGCTGTGGTCTTGCTTGCCCACGCTTGCCCATGATGTCAGTGTCAGTTGTCACATGCATGACTGGTTGTCTGTCACTGTCTGTCTTATCACTGTTTTTGAATTGAACACTACTGTTCAAAATAACGGCTAATTAATGAAAGAATGAATTCATCAAACAAACCGATTGTTTTGAATTTAGAAATTGGTGACCAATTAACAAACATATCTTGTGGTCATGTTGTTGTAGAGTTAATCAAATTTTTAGTCTATCAAAGATTACAAATACCGTATTCGTATCAGTGGTTGAAGCAAGTTATTACAAAGAAGAAATCATGTGAAGATGATAACGTGAAGGATAGCTTTCAATCTGAAAGACATTTTAGAACCGCCTCTACTGCTTTGGAAAACTTAGATTTCATTTTGAAGGTAACATAATTATTACCTAAGTACAAGCTTTCGTGTTTTTTTAGTGTTGTGGTGTTTCCCTATCATGTTTGTGATAGTTTATTTTATATAAGTACAGATACAGATGACAGATTGAAATCGTACACAACAAACTTTATTATCCTTTTATCTGTTGAAACACCGGCTCCCGGTATAAAACACATTCACACAGACAAGAGGGTATAGTGAGTGAACCTGAACCTGAAGTCCAGTTACAATTGTACATAATTACATAACCTATTTATATCAATTTTTTTACTGTTGCTTACAGAGTCTTCAAAAAGAAGTCAGCGGTCCTTCTATACCTGATGAAGTGTGTATTGCCCTGGGAGCCACCCCAGTGACCTGTAAGGAAGTCTACAGGGTACTCTTGCCTTCAGCTTGTCATAGACCACAATGTCACTCTACTCTCATAGCCAATGACCAAAAGATACAAAGGAGTGTGTTTAGGTAGGTAATATTTTTTTTTATTTTGTTTTGAAACATTATCATACGCTTGGATTTGCTCCTGTCTTGGGGGTGTTTTTAAACATACAAGTACACATACATGATATCAAAACCTGAAACAAAAATTTAGGGATCACACAAAGACTTGCTCTGTGCAGGTTTTAAACCCTTAACATGTTGCAGGTTGCGCAGCCACCGTGCCAATTCTGCAGTCTAATTGATAACAATATTTCTCCACTTGCATTAAAACTAAAAAAAGAAGCATTGTACTTTACACTAGTTGAGTTATAATGTATTCAAACATTTTTTGATTCCAGGACGTTAGTAACATCAGAAAAATTAAGCCAAGTATTCTTTAACCCACTCCAACCCACCAATTTGTATGTGTTTATCAAGAAAAAGTTGATAAACAACTTAGACAGCATCATAGACAGTGACAACTTCGTATTTACAAGTGGCTGTAGAATACCCAGGAATTCTAAAATTGTGGTTTTAGATTTTAGAACCAAAACATTTGATAGTCTATCGTGCTGTAATGAGTTCCAAATATTTGGAGACATAGTCAATCAAGAATTGCAAAACTTGCAGTTAGATGAAACTGAAGAAAATGTAAATGAATACAATGAGATAGAATCCTCTGATACTGCAAGATGGTATCAGTCTTCATACATTATGAAGGGGTTCAAAGACTGCACGGTCAACGGCAGTTCTATTACAAACGCCTGGCTCAATTCCTGACTGAATGAAAATAAAACAAACTGCAAATTAGCTCAATTAATATTTTATTGTTATCATATATTATTGTTTATGCACCTCGCATTTTTATAACAATGACTGACATATTCTATGTTATAAGAATTGTTCTATTTTCTTACAACTTAATGTAATAAGAATAAATTAGTAAAATATATTAGTTTTATATTCTAAAGTTACTTCATTGATCAATTTTTGTTTGTAGACTGATACACTGTAATTAGTGCCATATTAACTGTTTTCACTAATAAATATCTCTTGGGTTTACTGTATCTTTATACTGTCTTTATATGTGTTGAAATGAATGTTAATTTGACAATAGAATGTTTTTATAAGTACATCATTACCTACTAACTTTGTTTTATTGTAAAAGGACTTACACCAGTAAATCACATATTTATGTTTCTGTATACTGACTGCCTCGTTGGCCGAGTGGTCGCAATTGCGACTGCCGGGTAAGGGGTCTCGGGTTCGATTCCCGGGTCGGGCAAAGTACTACTAGGCTTTTTCAAAAAATCTCAGTAGTAGCACGGAGTCTGGAATTGTGCCCTGTATATGACAATAGGCTCACCTCCTGTTACATGGGACTCATAATATAAATAGTAAAAATATGTGGGTGTTACACTGTACAGTGGCATTAAGTGCCGTAACGTACACCTCTGCCTACCCCTTCGGGGATAAAAGGCGTGATGCTATATATAAGTAATGTTTCTGTATGTAATGTTAATAACTTAACATCTCGCCTTCTATGGGTGGTAGGGAAAGGTACACAATACATAAACAATACAACACCGACTTTTCAACTTGTTGGTCCCATGAAATAATGGTTTGTTAAATTATGTTTCAATTTAATTATGTAGGTAACATAATATCACATGGTCATATAAATTGATTCATAACTTCATAAGTTGTCTTAGTTACTATGTACAGATTAGTTTGGTTTCAGTGTCGCGCAGACTGTCAACGCTAAGCAGCAAATTGGCGCGCACGGAGGCGACGGTCAGTGTGATACTAAAACCAGCCTTAGAGTAGACCAAAACAAAATTCAATGTGTTTCATATTTACAATTTTATAGATTTCACCTCTACCTGCCCACCATCACCAAATATAGTTCGTTCTTGGTGTGCAACACATGTTTTATGTAAGTCTTGATCTGCCGTTCTCTTAGTACAGTTTTTCTTATTATCATAAAGTTTTACTGCATCATTGTATTCTACAATTAAATTATTTCTATTTCCATTTGGACCCACTATATATTCACATTCAATTGATTTCTTAATCATATCATTTATACAGCATTCAAGTAACTCATAATATTCCAGCCAGTATGTGTCTGGGAGTTGTTTTAATTTGATACCAAGTGATTCTCTGAGGATGCCAGTTATAAAAATGTCATCAATCCAGAAGTATGGATGGTAAATAGCTTCATCGCACAGGTCTCCTGCAACTTTAGGAGTGGTGAGGTAATACCATCCTGAGAGGTATAAAGGGTATTCTGATCTTGAGTATTCATCCCAAGTGACATACCATTTGTTCTCCTTATTTCTTCTTGGTTTGGTATTGTTCAGCATATATCCTAATAATAGGTCTTCAGTATATTTTAATGCTTTCAAAAATTCATAGGTTCTTTCTAAGCTGAATACTGTATCATCATCCACTTTTAGTATGTATGTTGCATCCTGGCACACAGTTGAGGCCCATTTCAAGCCCATCAGGTGTTTATAAGTCAAGTTTCTATAGTTTTCTGTGAATTTTCCTTGTAAGATATCACCAAAAGTGTTACTCTCGTCATTGATTGCAGATTGTGTTATATATCTGAAAAAAGGTTATCAAAGTTCATTCGTAAATTAAATAGGTATTTCCTCATAGCAAGAGTGCAATAGTTCTGTTCTATTTCATGTGTCTAATTTACAATAAAATATTAATTGGTGGTGAGTCCTTACTTTTCTTTGTCCGGTATTTGGGCCAACAAAAATATTCTAGCTGCATTCAATTCCCTTAACTTCTCGGCAGGCATAGCCCTTCTATGAGCACTTCGTAACTCCACATGACCAACATAGGAAGTTACGATTATAAGTAAAAATGGATGACCTGTAAGTTATCACAAAAACAAATCAGTTAACGGTAATTTCTAAAATGTACTTATTTGCAATGGCAAGTTAATTTTATTGATGTTTCCACTGTTTTTAATACTTAATCATTTGAAAAGTAACTTATTTCATGTTTAGCAGGTACCTATTTAATTAAGGAGAAAATAAAAATATTAATTACTTTGGCAAAACGTTATCGCTGGTTTAAGTGTAACATCGTTTAATTTGTATATTTTCCTTTTAATAACGGCGACAGTCTCATGAAATTCTTCATTCGATTGCCAATATATCCAGCTGGCGAGTGCTATACCAATGAAGAAGGCAATGTAAACAAACTTTTTACGCATTTTTAATATTTCGCATAGGTATGACTCAATTCACATTCAACTTTACATTTACTACATTATTTAAATATTATAGAATAATTATTTATTTATCATTATTAAGAACTATAACTTTCAGTTTAATTAATTGATTAATAAAACATATAAAACTTTCATTGAAAATAAACTTTTGCGATGACATTTGAATTGAATGACAGAACAATCAGAACCTATCTTCAAATTTGTGTGAATGACAGTCTTGAGTCTTTTGTTTTGACTTTTAAGTTAGATAGATAATGTATAAAGTTGGGTTGTAGATTGTAGATAATAATTAAGTAGTAGTAATTTGCTTCTTAAACTGTCAAACACCAAGCGGTCACCGGTGACCGCAACCTATTGTTCTATAATTGTGTCTACAAAACCGGTACTCGACGAGTTAAATTGATCAATAATGCCGAAACTGCTCAAAGATTTGTTTGTAAGAAGTTCATCTAGATGTACACATAGTTGGCCGCTGGCACAATTCGTTATAATGTGACTAATGTGTCAATAAAGGATTTTAGTCACGGCACATTTTTTCAGGTAATCCTAACTATATAATATTATAAATCGGAAAGTGAGTTTGTTTGTTTGTTCCGCTTTCAAGCCGTAACTACTAAACCGATTGCTTTGATTTTTTGCAGACGTAAAGTTAGAAGTCTGGATTAATTAACAGGGTACTTTTTATCCCGGAAAAATTTGATATTCTCGAGGGAAAACGAAATTATTGGTATAGATGGCGCTGTGTGTATTGGTATGTCACGTTGGCTACTTTTTATCCTTTTGTGACACGCGCGAAGCCGCAGGTAAAAGCTAGTACATACTAATTGTACACTTCTGGACACATCTATTGGCCCACCTTAGAGTTTAGGTTTCGAAGGCTCCTACCGAAATATGATTGCTAGATTGAACAAAAACTGTTGATGCAGTTTTAAACCTGATACAATTTACGATCTTTCGATCATATTGTTTTATATTTGAATTCAGAATACCATACGACATGGAGCTACGCCTAACAAATCGGATATGCCCCTTGGCAATGGATTTTTGAATAAAAGTTGATAAAACGTATTTTATAAGTGCCACAGCTTGGGCGGCGACTTCAGGTGAAGTATCCATAGATTATTGATAGAACCTCACCTTAATGTTAAGAATAAGTAATGTTTGTTGCAAAACCAAAGATATCCATCACTTTTTCACGAATTAAATCCAAGTAAACCAATAAAATCAAGTGTTCTTAGTATTCGATTGTTTGATATCAACAAACAGGCTCCAAATAGTCTTTTGTTTTTTTACATTTCGTGTTCCAAATTCAAAAAAAGACTATTGAATGAAATTGTGATTGTGCTAGGTTCAAAACTGCATAAAAACTTTTTCTCGACCTAATATAAAATTTTAGCTAGGACCAAATAAAACTGAAAATACAAGGTAGGCCAATTATAGATGTGTTCAGAAGTGTATAAATTATGTTTTTTTTACATTAACTTAATTGAAAGCCTTCATTTCTGTTAATTCTCTTAGGGCTATTTTTCACTGAGGCACCATGGCGGCGCAACCAGTCGCGCCCTCGTGGACGGCTGAGTGACTAACACACCATAAAGCGCTATAGTAATTAGTGGCGACGTGAACAACGTTGTATTATTTGAGCTGGTAGTGCCTTCAGATTGGTTGTGCAACCAAACATACATCAGGTGAGTAACTCTCTATAGAGCTGTATAGGTACATTTTGTTGGTCGCAGCGATTGGTAGCGCCGCCATGGCATGACGGTGAAATACTTATAGCCCTTAATGGTACCTACCTGCACGACGAGTTGACCGTATACGGCCATTAAGCATTTGTTATTTGAGATGTTAAAACCGCCGATGGAAACAATCATCCCCAAGCATCAACATGTCCACTATTAAACAAAGGCTTTGAAAATTAGAATTGCCTTAATCCCCACGCTTGAGAAATGAATAGGGGATCGTAAACAATTTTGAGATCAAAATAATATGCTATGATGAGACAATAGTTTAATTGGTACATTTTCAAAGCCTATGGCTCCGTGTTTTGTTTGTGTTCCTACGATTAATATCTTGCTCTGAGAATGGGACCTAAAATTTTCAATTTTGTATAGCTGACACAAATAGGTATTGGAGCAGTTTTGTAGTTTGCTGACAACGAAGGCAAATGATTCGTAGTGCTTCTTATTGATTGTACAGGTATCTAATAAAGGGTATCCCAAAAATTACGTAAAAAGTAATTTTGATAGAAAACACAGGTCAATAGCATGTCGGGTAGGTAAATGGTATGGCCTCCACGCCCGAGACACAATTTAATTACCTACTGCCCATCACACTCATCACACAACATTGCTTTTTGATTTTTCATAATACATAATCCATAATAGTAAATAAGTAGGTACTTTCAACATATAAGTAGCTATTTTAATAGAAATTGCAACCAGTTTCCGCATTTATGTGCCATTGTAGTGTTTTTACTGCCTTAACGAATTGATAATCAGATATTATCGCTTGTACGATTACCCTAGCACTAGATTATACTCACAAGCAGCAGCTTATTGATGCGACAGCGAACAAACTACTGTCATTTTTATCATTAATAATGAGTCGTTATCAAGAGCCGCCTACAAGCGCAGGAGCGCAGGAAACAAGCTCAGTCGACTGATCGTTGATCAGACAGAGGCGCGCGCGCATAACACACCGTGCGGACACAATCGACCGTTTTACGGCGGCACAAAAATAATTAAATTAAAAAATAAATAAAAATAAAAGAAGATGAGTTTCACAATGGACGCCGAGACAGAGGCTGATGCCCTGAATGCAAAAATTATCTCAATGGTATGCCTGTTCGGGATATCCATGATAACTGGCTGCTTGCCGTTGCTTATATCCCTGAAGTGGGACTGGTTCAAGACGGGAGACGCCAACCTACGTAACTCCAATCAGCTGGTAATGGGTTTACTGGCATTCGGAGGGGGAATCCTGTTCGCGACCACCTTCATGCACTTGTTGCCCGAAGTTGATGAAAACATTGAACATCTGCAAGGTTAGTATAAATAAATATTTGCCGACATATTAACTAGTCACACATTTGTTAGTGACAGAAATTCATAATAAGTTGAAATAGTATACTCGTACCTGCTTTGGTATCACAACATCTAAGAACGTAGGTTTTTATTTGTTCAGATGTATCTAATGAATAAAACATTATCATTTCATTTAATAACACTGGTTTAAACGCGTACATAATTATTAATTATTCAGAATCAAGTCCCGGCATTAAGTTTGCATAACTCTTATTTAAATAGCTGGATATGATTTCCCACTAATGTTATTGAATCTGTGGTTAAAAAACTTTGAAATTACGAGTGCATTTACAACTTGTCTAGAGGTGAAAAAAAAAACGTTTACAAGATAATCAAACCATGGCGATATGGATTTATGAAATAGAATTATTCATTACCATACTTGTTAATAAAACTGCTACTTAAAGTTTTATTAAGTAGGTACATTTTTATTGGCTGTCGCATAAATAGGTATTGTTGTTGTGAAAAAAATGGACTTAGATTGTATGTTGCATTTTATTAATGAATTGTATCATGTCTGTTGTGGATGCATTTGTGGATAGCATATGGAGAAACAATTTACTTATTGATATTATCCATCAAGTCCATATTACCCTTAAACTTTACGACACATTTTTAGAAATAAGTATGAACACTTTCTACTTTCTGTTTCGTTTGGGAAAATATAGATATAATAATAAGGTACCAATTTTTAATGAATAATGTAGGTACCTACATATACATACCTACATCATAATGTACCTACTAAGTTTAAAAATACGATTGTGTGAATATACAACACCGTTCTTACAGTTGGGAAAAAAGATCCAATCTTAAAACCAATTTAAAGATCTGAAATTTTGAGATTGCCGAAAATTGTGTAGGCACAAATACCAGTATGCTGTGTGGTCACTATAACCATACACGTAATGTATTAAATAATTAAAACTACACAAATGAAATACAATACCTATTTCCTTACCAACGGGAAAATAGATAAAAGTAACGAACGTTTATATTTGAAAGGATCATATTTTTAATGAACCACATACACGCATACACCTAATCTTTGTCAAGAAGGTATTGAGTTGCGAACAAACCGTTGATATTTTGTCGTTTCACAGTAATGTGCTAATGTTACAAATAAACACACAGCTATCAACCTACTCCAATATTTACTTCTAATGAATTTCCGACTTTATATAAATACGATAAAGTTAATTGTTAAAAAACCTAAAATCGATCTCCAGCTACATATTGACATTTCCATTTAAGTTCCATAGTTAGAAGTTAATTTGTTTGTGTTTTGTTCACGAATTATCTATTTGCCACTCAATCCTGCTAATTTCTTCTTTGTTATTTCTGCAATACGACTACGATGTATCTTTCGCACAAATATGATTCCTCAAGAATAACTTACTACTTCAGTATTTCTTTAAGGAAACTAATAGCAATTTCTAATTCCTAACAACCTACAAATATCTAAAACTCGATAACTGATAGTTATCTATCATTCATACCGATACCGAAAAACCCTATAAATAACAATTTAAACGGTTCCAATTAAAAAGCAATTAGCATTAGTAGAATGTCAAGATTACTATTGTTATTGTCTAATCTCATATTAAATCACTAAAAAACAGGGGATTATGAAATTAAGAGTCTTTAATGATTATCGTAATCGGTCATCATAGTGTGATAATATTATGATTAAATTCTCCTTTAGGTCACTAATAAGCACGTGTAGATGAAAAAAATAGATGAGAAAAATTTATTAGCTTACCATATTCGTTACGCCACAGCTACGAGCTACGTATGGTCAGCTACACAGCTACGACCTACGAGCTGACGGCTGCGCCATGCACCACGGCTACGTGGATGTGCTATCGGCTACGCCACAGCTACGAGCTATGTGCTATTGGCTACGCCACAGTGTTTAGTAGTATTATTTTCATAAAAATGTAACAAACAGTCTGCACACATACATCCTCACCAATTTTAACGTTTATAATAATACAGTTGATAATATAATGTAAGTTCACTTATTTACTACGCCGCGGCTACGCGACTACTACGTGTGAGCTACGCCACATCAACGTTTATGTACCTTACCTATCCCACAATCAACTTATAGTTTGAAGTTAAAGCTGTTTTAATGAATGTATCTATAGTAAAAAATATTTATTTTTCTAATTTTCATTCACACGATTGTTTATATGGGATTATCGTATCGCAATCATGATTCAAACGAGTAGAAAGTTGCATTCAATTAAAATGGTGTTTAAATTCATGGCCGTGGTATGGTGGGATGTCTGACACAGTTACTTCCGACGTGAAAGGTCATGTAGTCACGTAACAGCTGTCACGTTGATGGGAATACAATGAGGAGTGATGGTGTTAAGTATACCGTGGGAGTCTATGGTCAGTGACTATAGACCAATCATACATTACAAGTCACGATCGAACTATTTGGTCACTACCTTGCTTAAGTTATCTGTTATTTTTTTTAATGTTTTTTTTTTACTTTGCAAACAGAATAATTTTCAAAATTCTTTATTTTCTAGGTATCTGAACACAAACTTAAAACACCACTTTTATTGTCCTTAGACAAATAGTTCTCACATTTCCAAGAGTAATATTATAGCAATAAAACAAATATCTGTAAAATAAAAAAATGTTTTCACAAAAGTTTAATAACTTATTATCATTAACTTGAAATTAAGAGACAATACATTTTTTTTTACTTAATTAAAAGAATGTAATTTAGACTTTATTTTTATCTAACTTAGAGTTTACTTCAATGGTCATTGAACTAAAATGTCGAATTTGTTGATTTACGCTGCGTGAATTTATTTCGTTATAACTGTAGGACAATAGGCTGTTATTATTATATTACCACGATTATTTGAGACTAATCATAAAGAAGACAAGACAATAGTTTCTGTTGTGGATTTAAAATAGCTTAACTACTCAAAGAGAATGTAAATATTTTTAAGACATCAATCCTATATTTTGCATTTTTCTATATTCAATGACTGAATAAAATGTCGCTAGTTAATATTATTTGGCATTTATTTACATACTTAAATACCGTCGCACTTTTTAATCCAAGAAAAGATTTTTTTTTAAACTGTCAAACACCAAGCGGTCACCGGTGACCGCAACCTATTGTTCTATAATTGTGTCTACAAAACCGGTACTCGACGATTTAAGAGGGGAAAATCATCGAATGACTGTTCCCGCCTGAGTGAGGCGGAAGGGAGTGTCAGACTCTTACTGACTAAAAACCACCCCGTTTCTTCTCCTGCACGCACGTCGAGCCGGAGCCTCGGTTACCCGTTAGGTTCTCCGCGACATCCAAGAAAGGATAGACACTCCTCCTACCTTTGACGCGTTATGTGAGCCTCATAAATACTGGGTGTCGAGTACATTGTCAAGTACCAATTTGACTTTTTCCGAATTATCTGTTTTTTCTAAGATTATTTAGACACAGAGTAACACTGCCTCGTTGGCCGAGTGGTCGCAATTGCGACTGCCGGGCAAGGAGTCTCGGGTTCGATTCCCAGGTCGGCCAAAGTATTACTGGGTTTTTAAAAAAATCTCAGTAGTAGCACGGAGTCTGGAACTGTGCCCGGTATATGGCAATAGGCTCACCTCCAATTGGGACTCATAACATAAATAGTGAATAGTGGGTGTTACATTGTACAGTGGTATAATTATAATGTGCACCTCTGCCTACTCCTTCGAGGATAAAAGGCGTGATGTTATGTTATTTAGACACAATCGATGAAGGAAAATATCGTGAGGAAACTTGGGCTTAGAGGTACAATTGCTGATTATAGTTTGAAATCGCCAACCCGCACTGAGCAAGCATGACGATTAATGCTCATACTTTCTCCGTGTGAGAAGAGGCCTTTGGTCAGCAGAGGCCATTTTATAAGCTGTTGATGTAATATGTATGTATGTATGATATAGGTGTATTGCAATATTGCCATTTACCACATATAATTCCGGACTCCATGCTATTAGACATTAAGAAAATTGAGAAAAATCTAATAAATCTTAGCTTGATTCGGATATCGAGCGCCCATACTCTTATTGCTTTACAACTGTACTAGCGGCCACTCGAATGTGTATCGTTAAATCGGTTATATCGCACCAATATTGCAATTTAACATACGTTATCGTAAACATACGTTGTATTGCACGTAAATTATTATGTGTAACTAATATTTATTTCGTACTAAACCATTAACTATTACCTACCTATATTTAGGTACATAGTATGTTAAAACATAAAAGTAATTACTTAAGGAAATTAAATAATAATAATAATTCATTCAATCAATTAAAAATATTCACAGTCCATTTTATTAGATAAACGATGCGTTTATCATAAACCCAAGGAAATCAAGTAGGTGCCTATTTTTACGAAACCTGTTTGAAAAGTTAATGATGGTTAGGTTTAGGATATTGGCCCTAATTTCTACTAATCTTAGATATTTCTACTAATCTTATTTATTATGTATGTCTTAACCATTCACGGGACCACAGGGTCCCGGTCATTTGGGAGGCGTACGAGGGGCCGAAGCCAACTGCGCAGAGGCCCTTTAGACAACTTTAATCTAAATGTAATGGACACACAAACCGGCGACTATCCCTGTATGCACTATGGAAATGCACCCAAGGACAGTCCCCGGTTAGTGTAGGACTATTGTGAATAATGTAAAAAAAAGGTAGGGCTATGGATGGGTTGCTGTGGACTGGTAAATTGGGAACTATGGATGAGTATGGCACCTGCCGAAACAATGTAATTTTTACACGTAAAAATGGCAGGCGGAGACTCGCCAACTCACCAACCGGGCCCCGGGAATGGTCGCTAGATATAGCAACAGAGGGGCAACGAGAATGTGAGTGGCTGAAGGGTTAAGAAACTACCACCGCTTTTTACTCAGATCATCTGCTCCAGCCGAAGCCTCCTGCATCCCTGGCCCACTCGCGACTTACGAATAGTTTCTTACCCTCCGAGCAGGATCACTGCTCTCGCGACTCCACTCTGGACGGCCAATGAAGGCAAGCCAGAGGTGGGAGACCTGTTCCTTGTCATCGTTCACTCCAGCCAGCCAATTAAGGCAAGCCGGAGAAGAAGGAACGGTGACTTTTCCCTGGAGCACTCGGGATGATGGTAGCCCGCGGGATCGCTAATGCCCGTCACCTCGCCTCAAGGTGCCCTGCGGGCTTATTATTATTATTATAATTAAATTAATTAATTATAATGCTGAAGAGTTTATTTGTTTGACGCTAACCTCAGGACTACTGGTCCAATTTGAAAAAATATTGTGTTGGATAGACCAGTTATCGAGGAAAGCGTTAGGTTGTAAAAGTGTAAAATATCACGCTACAACCAAAACCAGTAGATAGCCTAGGTATACAATTGGGGATTTGCCAACTAGTCAAATTCAATACTTTTTTCGAACAGTCACAAACAACAGTTTTCTATGAATTTTATACGAGAATGTGTATTATGACGTCACGTTTTTTTAGCGACAAACAACATTACTATTTCTTAAAAATTTGCTCGAAAAGCATCTACTAAAATTAATTTCAATATAATTATTGGTCATAAAATCAATTAATAAAAGTGTGATTATTTTTTACCATTATATTGTATTGAACAGTTAAAATAAATTATATTTGATTAAAGAAAGTAGGTACCCAATTAGAGTTGTCAACTTTTTTTAGACGAAATAAAGTATCTGAGTTTAAAGGAGGTAAATAAAGAGTACGGACTTACAAAAAAGAGTATCGTTTAGTTCAGTTCATTAAAAGATATTTTATTGTAGATACCTACTTTTTGCAGCAGACGACCATGTTTCTGTTAAAATACCTGTATAACCTAGTAAGGTTAGCCTATAGCTCGATAGGTAGGTTACTGTACGATGTCTATACAAAATTTTATTTGATTCGGTCCAGTACTTTTCATAACAGTGGTATTGGGTAAAAAATTAAAATACAGGATTAGTTAAAAAAAAATATACCAAATTTCGCTGAACTAAAGTATATTATAAATTATCACTTATGTGTTACCGTTAACTATATACCTCAGTGATAAAAGGATACCTTTTTAATCTGGTCATGGGTTTTTGAATACTATTACAGACTGACACTAGTTGAGTAAACATTGCGTAAAAAAGAGTATTTTCACGTCCTCTATTAGTGTATAGAGTACGTCATAACATAACATAAATTAACATCACGCCTTTTATCCCCGAAGGGGTAGGCAGAGGTGCACATTATGCCACTACAATGTAACACTCACTTTTCACTATATATGTTATAGGGGGAGTCCCGTGTAATAGGGGGTGAGCCTTTTGGCGTATACCGGACACAATTCCAGATTCCGTGCTGCTACTGATAATTTTTTAAAAACCCAGTAATACTTTGCCCGACCCGGGAATTGGACCCGAGACCCCTTGCCCGGCAGTCGTAATTGCAACCACTCGACCAATGAGGCAGTCAATGATATAGAGGCTAATACTCTATTTTAGAGTACGGTTGGCCACCCACGAATTTATAATACTGAAAGGGTTTGTTTCTTTGTTTGTTTGCACGCGGTAATCTGCGAAATTACTAGATCGAATTGAATAATTACTTTTGTGTTGGATAGTCCTTTTATCGAGAAAGGCTATAAAGCATGAATACGATCAAATAACTAATGAAGAAATAAGTTAAGTAAGATCGCACCTACCTACACGTTAAACACGGGTTTGGGGTAAGGTATTTTTTTTAGGGGGGAAAATCATCGAATGACTTTTCCCGCCTGAGTGAGGCGGGAGGGAGAGTCAGACTCTTACTGACTAAAAACCACCCCGTTCCTACTCCTGCACTTTTAGCCGGAGCCCCGGTAACCCGTTAGGTTCTCCGCGATGTTTGAAATAGTAAAGGGTAACAGCTTCACCATGGGGAAACAATAATGATAGCGTAACTAGTACAAAGCGTATGAACTAGAACTATAACACCTTTGTATACCTTCGGGGAATAACAGATTTGATATTATTTTATTACATTAAGTACATAATTTTGATGTACATTATTTTAATATCTGACTGTAAATCCCCAAAGGATAAGTACCGCATGATAAATATCTAGTTTCGCCCGGAATTACTTATTATTTTTTCCGATTACCTAAATTATTTTATCAACAAATGCTCACGTAATTCGCACCTATGATAATACACGTAGTTATATATCTATGTTATGGTTTATTACCATACAGTTAAAAACACATTGTTATCATAATCCCAAGTACCAAATATAGTGGAAAGCAATAAAAATTAAGTCGATTAATAGTTTTATTTCAAAATTGCCAATAAATAAATACAAATCGTACTAGATTTCTTAATCTGCACGTAAATACTATTTGTATTATCGTTGTATTGGCATACTATATTGCCTAGAATAAATATTTATCAACGCGGCCCTAAAATAATACCGATTATACAGATCCTTTAGAAACCCTACTTGTATTATCATTGTATTGTTATACGTTTATTGACACTATATCACCTCAATAATATAAAAATTATCAACGGGTTCTTAAAATAATAATAACACAATCTGATACGAAGATCGAAAGTCACTAGTGAAAGTCAAATAAGAAACTACGTGACTGATCTTTGCTTGGCTTCGACTTTTTCTGAAAATTTAACCTGGCTACATCGATTTATCGCTCCCGAAACTCTCTTCCAAAATTTTATGAAAATCGTTGCAGCCGTTTCCGAGATCAATGATACATAACACAAGAATTGCTCGTATAAAGGTATTAGATACATACACTTGAATGAATAATGAATCTTTCATCTATTTATTTATTTATTTATTTGTTCATGTACACAACACAGACAATACACAGAAAAAAATATATATAATAACAAAACAGAGGTACATAGGTACTGCATATCCCTTATGGGATTTCTTCCTGCAGCCCTGCGAAAGGAGAAATAAATACGACATATGACACAGTGTGTAACAACAAAAAAAAAAAAAAAAAAAAAAAAACAAACAAGAAGAAGACAATGAAAACTTAAACTGATAATTAAAATTAGATTAACCAAAATAATACAATAAAAACATATAAAATAAATATAAATAAGTACCTATTTATACATACAATATGTAAATAATATATAATACATAATATACATACGATATAACACAATCTGTACTTAATAGGAAAGGTGATAATGTTCCCTCACACATTTTTTAAAGATTGAAATAGACTTAGAGTCACGTATGTTAGGCGGGAGTGCATTCCACAGCCTCACCGCATGAACCGAGAAGGAATAAGAGTAGTGGTCGGTTTTATGGGATACAATTTGGAGATGTGATTTAAGATGTGATCGGGAAAGGGAATCGGGAAGACGAGCAAAGGAAAAACGTTCACGAAGGTAAGAAGGATAAGTAGGATTAAAGAGGATATTGTATCTATATTGTTATGTAATAACAATTATCTTATCGTAGAGCAAATATTTGATAGAATTATACTTAAAATAATTACTAAAGAAAGATGGCAGTCATTGTGATCACGACAGTAAATATACGAAGTGTGTTGCATTTTTCTTGATCTTTTTAATTAAGGAAACAATATGATAGTAAATCTTCAGTAGTAGCATAATGTTTGTATTTAGTTCCGGTACACAGTACTTTGTCATATGGTATATTGTAATTAGTTATTTACGTCCAAGGTAAAATAAATTTTATCTTAAAATTTTGTGTGTGTTCGCGAATCTATATAGAGTAGGTACTTAATTAATTTCCTTTGAAACTTCTACCGAGAACTTTGATTGCATAATAATTTTGGGTTTTCGAATTTAATTTAAAGTTTGGAATCTGCAGTAGAAGCCAATGTTTTAGTAATGAATAGGTACGTCGTCTATGGAACTAATAACTAGTGACTAGTGGAAATTGCACCTTATGACGTTATGACATAGTAATAATACTATCGTGATGGCTTGAGGGTGCAGGTTCGAAACCTGGATTTGCCAGGTTTAATCAATGTGATTTTTTCCGAGTTATTTTGTACTTTCTATGATTATTTAGACACCACTGACATACGGCGAAGGAAAACATCGTGAGAAAACCTGGGCTTATAATTTTCAATGAGCAATGTTATTGTTATTGATGTTAAGCTTCTCCGTGTGAGAAGAAGCGCTTGCTCAGCAGTGGGCACTTATAGGCTGTCGATGTGATAACAATAACAACAAATGCGGTATTACACAAATTTCGATCTGACCATGAACATTTAAAATCCCTGATTGCAAGTATGCAGATACACATCTATTAGGCTGGTGACGCAATTAGGGTACAATGACACTTAGTGATGTGATAATAAAGTATTTTATTGCCTATCTACAGACAAAATCTTTTAATAGGGCATTCTTATAAATTAAATGTGTTTACAACAATTGCATAAATAGTTTGTACGGTCTAGTCTTTGAGGCTATAAAAATATGTCAATAGCTCATTGACTTTTCATTTCTTCTTATATCCAGCCTCTTGCTTTAATTAAATTCCATGAAACATCACCGACAGTGTACATAAAACTGGTCAAATAAATGTCTGATCGCTCATGGGGCATCGTATATAGTTACCTAAATAAAAACTCGATTGTACATACTTGGGTGACTAACACAGTGGAAGTAAAATCGGACTCTTTCACTTATTTGAATTAAACTCAGTCATCACCATCATCATAAATAATAAATAATAGTATATATAGGTACTTCAATTTGCGACAAAACACCACCACCCGATTGTTTAATACAACCCCAACCTCCTTGCAGATGAAGGTGAACTTGGTGAGTTTCCATTGTTCCTCGCCGGGCTGATCATGTGCGCCGGCTTCTTTATGATCTACTTAGTCGAAGAGTTGGTGCATCTGTACATCAACAGCCGAGAAAACAAGAAACGAAATAACTCCTTCGCCAAGCCTTTCAAAATGAGGAAGAGTTCGCTGACCTCTGGCAGGTCAATTGAAGCGGCTACTGCTGCTGCAGAACTAAGTCAGATGGAGGCTAATGGAAAGAAAGGCGAGGAGAACCACTTGCCTCTGCAAGACCATGATTCTGTGGCAGGAGCACTCAGAGGTCTGCTCATTGTGCTGGCTCTGTCCATTCATGAACTGTTCGAGGGTCTCGCTGTTGGTTTGGAGTCTTCTGTAGCCAACGTATGGTAAGTACCTACTGAAATAATTCTTCCTTGTTTTTCCCTTTGTTTTTATATAACATCATTATTTGGTAATGAACCCTGTTCAAGTACCTAACGGAAACAGTTCTAACGCTACAAGCTACAAGGCATTAAAATAGATTCTTGACTGTGAGACTCTTCGGTATCTAGGTTTTCAAGTAGTATGGATATTACGGCTTTGCAGAAATTATTAGACGGCTGGCATAATTGACCTTTAAAAAAATATCAATTTCTCAAATACGTAAGATATTGTATTGACATAATCAGCCGATTAGTCACACACACGCACGCATAAGATCCTGTATAAAGATAATGAAATGATTTATTAATTAAACGTTTATCTCCTTTGAGGAACCCATTTACGTCCTGCTGACATTGATAGAAGCATTAACTAGTAACCGATAAGACGGTACGAAAACAAAATATAAATATGTAACATATTTTTCCTGTATGTATAGAAAGAACAGTATGAAGTTTTTTTTATAGATTCTTGAGGAGAATATTATAGTAGGATCGGCTACCACAAGCATACTCTTGCTTAAAAGGTTTTTTTCCTAAAATTTTGTTGGTATGTAGGTATGTACCTACATAATAATTGATGAAATAAATTATTTTTATTATTTATTTATAACAACATTGTTACACGCTTGAAACATGTTGGGCTTGCTGCTCAACGTGTTGTGTTGTGGCCTCCCTCAGGGAACTTTTGTTTCCGGGTGCATTGATCTGGGTGTATAATTTGTATCTCTGTAAAAGGCATCCACGATACAAGAGACAGTCCTAGCGTAGGACCATGTCAGACCAAATATTGCGATGATCATGATAATAAAGGCTTTTGATAACGATTGAGACAATTTGGCGACAAGGAAGCTAAAGCATTAGTCACTATTATAAATCGATAGCGGCTAGAAGACAATCGTTTTCTTCACGCTGCTTGCAGTCACGTAAAGTTTATCTTAAGATTTTGTTTACGAGTTACGACACCTGTCAATGATGATACGTTATCGAATTGAGAATTTGATTAGGCGCATCATTTTTTAAACATTAGAATGTTATGGCGACGACCGTTTATCTATTTGAGCTAGTCACGTTATGGATTAGGATTAGACATAGACAGTATTTTATCTGTGTCAGGATTGTTCTAGAAGATTCAGTTACAGTACAGTTGTATTGTTATTTTTTAATAAGAATTAATAAAATATTAAGTTTCCTCATGACTAGCGTATCTACAGGGACGAATGGCCATACTTACTATTGTTCTCAATACGAAAGTGTGCTTGGCTATCTTTCTTTCTTGTTGGAATGGGGCGATTTTATGGTACGATATTATATTTGGAGAAAGTTAGGTCTTTTTTTTAAAGGGGAATATTATCGCATGACTACTCCCGCCTGGGTGAGGCGGTAGGGAGTGTCAGACTCTTACCTACTAACTAAAAACCACCCCGTTCCTTCTCCTGCACGTCGAGCCGGAGCCCCGGTAACCCGTTATGTTCTCCGCGACTAGAAAGTTAGGTCTGGAGAGCTTCTAAACCACGGACAGTACCTATCTACGTAAAACAATTGTAAATTTTCTTAGGTTGATTTGTTGGGCAAGAGACCATTGCTAATGAAGATTGCTGATACAGCACTTTTAGTATCAGGTGCAGGTCGAGAAGTCAGGTATAGGAAGTGCTTACAGTAAGCGCTTTATGACTGACAATTAGATTCAATATTGATAAGAGAGACGTGCCAATAACTTGAGTGGTGTAATCACTTATGATGAGTATGTCCTATTGAAGTACAACTTGTTTACAGCGCCATAGATTAGAGATCAAGTGTCGAGTAGGTACTTTTCATTTTACTTGATAAATCCGAAATTTTGCGAGTTTTACCCAAAAACTACTAAATCGATCTGAATGTTTAGGATAGGAAAAATTAACCCGTCGCGATAGGTCGTGTGCCTAAACGCGGATCAAAGCGAAACATGTAATTCCTATCACTTAGTCTTATATTCAAGCGGTTTAAGTCTGGAATGGCATATAGGACACTTTTAAAGCCTAACAGACGCTAGGCGGCTAGAACTACAGAAAGCGAAATACTATCTCTTTTTTGTGTCTAGAATTATAGAGGCTAGTTTGTTCTATTAACTTATCTTATAAACTTGCGGTTGTTGTCGTCGTGGGCTACGACTAACGTCACTATAGTTAAAGATGTCCCAAAGTACCTGTGACATCAGATAAACCAAGAATGTTGTGTCACGTTTAATGGGTTGGGGACGGCAAATGACTAACGCTCTTAGTTAAATGCGGACATTCAGCTGAACCTGATACAAATTGCTTCCGAACTCATCATAGTTTGGAAAAGAATGCAAGAAAGTTCTACTAGTTTCGAACTACAGAGGGGTTCTTCCTCATGAGCAGCGTGCGCGGTCTTTGTTTTCGTTTTATTCATGCCACATCAGCATCGAGCAGTTGATTACAAGTTTTATTACATAAAAGAAACATTTAATTCCTAACTTTTATCAAAATAAAACTTGTTTTCTACCATCACCTAGTTTTACGGGAGCGTTATGTTTACCCCCTGTATAAAACTGTGAAACGTGGATGTCAAGGATCATGGATTAAATATTGTAAATATGAAGCAAGCTATGCAATTAACTCAAGATTTTAGCGCGTTGAAACAAACGTACTCCTTGTGATAGGTTGCGGAATAAGGAAAACAGCAAAAACAATGGAAAATAAAAATAATAATGTTGTTTTTCCTTGAAATGTTCAGAAAGACTGATCTGCTTTGTTTCAGTCAGTCATAGCTTATGTATAAAACAATATTACTTTAGCAAGTGGTCGCTGTTTGGCTTTTTTAAGTAAAATACCTATATATTTAGTGTGTCGGTGGTGTATATTTGAATATTTGAGGTGAAACGACCAATATACATCGCCGTACAATGTACAAATTATATTCTTAGTCGTGATTAGGTAAATACGTACCAAAAAGTTGTCAATCAGAATGATCTGCACATTTTTATCGCATAAGCTACTCAACGTATAAATCTGAAATAGTCACATATTCGTTGGTTCCGTCGGAAATTTGGTGAATAACCAAAAGGGAATTCCCGAAATTCAAACGGGAACGGGAAAAATACGAATGAAGTAACAGAGTGTAGGGGAGAACTATGAGTGGATTTCCCGTAATTCTAATATAGATTCCTATATCTAATCTGCAATACAGTCATCACTATTGCAGACGGTAGGCAATTATTTTATACTACCTACCTTCTGCCAGCGGCTAAAATGTAAAAATAAAAAGTGACCTATGGGTTATTCCAGACCATAATCTACCCCTTGTTCCAAATTTCATCTCAATCTCTTTAGCCGTTTTGATGTGAATGGGTAACACACACACACACACACACACACACACACACACACACACACACACACATCCTAACAAACTTTTGCATTTATAATACTTACTTTATGTTCTTTAAGATCTAAGTATTCTTAGGTCATTAGGATCCAACTTAAGATTTTATATACAAGTTTCAGAAATCTTTTATTTACGAAATTCTTTATTGGTATCAAAACTTTTTCTGCTCCACATACGACATTACTCTTACATTACATAACATCACGCCTTTTATCCCTATCCCGAAGGGGTAGGCAGAGGTGCACATTATACCACTGTACAATGTAACACCCACTTTTCACTATTTATGTTATGAGTCCCATGTAATAGGGGGTGAGCCTATTGCCATATACCGGGCACATTTCCAGACTACGTGCTACTACTGAGAATTTTTTAAAAACCCAGTAATACTTTGCCCGACCCGGGAATCGAACCCGAGACCCCTTGCCCGGCAGTCGCACTCACGACCACTCGGCCAGCGAGGCAGTCACTCTTCTTGAAAGATTTTAGGATTAGGTAGGTAATCTAGAAATCTAGAATCCTTGAGATGAATGATACTGCTTGATGGTTGGTCCCCTCGGATATTTTTCCCAACAATAATTTTATTTGATAAGCTAAGTTATCTGGACACAACAGCTCAATAGGCCTGAATGCTATCATAGTAATTGATATGTTTTTGATTGATGGTCGAAATCATAATTTGTGTAAGGTTTCTTTTCGATGCTAACTTCAGATAAACATTGGCAAATCGTTTGTTCTTTTATCGTAACTACTGGTAATTCCAATGGCTTCAGTTGTCTGACGATACCAGTAGCATCTGATTACAAGATTATAATAATATGCACACACACACACACACACACACACACACACACACACACACACATCCTAACAAACTTTTGCATTTATAATACTTACTTTATGTTCTTTAAGATCTAAGTATTCTTAGGTCATTAGGATCCAACTTAAGATTTTATATACAAGTTTCAGAAATCTTTTATTTACGAAATTCTTTATTGGTATCAAAACTTTTTCTGCTCCACATACGACATTACTCTTACATTACATAACATCACGCCTTTTATCCCTATCCCGAAGGGGTAGGCAGAGGTGCACATTATACCACTGTACAATGTAACACCCACTTTTCACTATTTATGTTATGAGTCCCATGTAATAGGGGGTGAGCCTATTGCCATATGCCGGGCACATTTCCAGACTCCGTGCTACTACTGAGAATTTTTTAAAAGCCCAGTAATACTTTGCCCGACCCGGGAATCGAACCCGAGACCCCTTTCCCGGCAGCCGCACTTGCGACCACTCGGCCAACGAGGCAGTCAAAGCCAAGCAGGCATATAGATATGTATGTAGATATATTCAAATTATAGTCATATTTAAATTCATACAAGCGTGGGAGAGCTATGGTTTAGCAAGAATGGGCCGGCTCGACCGGAGTGAGATCTCACAAAAAACCGACGTGAAATAACACTTGCGTTGTGTTTCATCCTGTGAATCAGGTTACCGGAGGGATAATTACCCCCCAATCTCCTAATCCTCAAATTCCTAATCCCTAATAGGCCGGTATCGCCTTGTTACAGGTGCGTTACCCGGCCTATTCCATAAACAAAACAGATAAATATCGACTTTTTCGTTCATTTCAAATTATATGTTTTGGACCTCAATAAAAGACAGGATGATAGAAGATTTATGTTTTCATTCTTATGTGTATTTGCAAATGGCTTAAGAACTAGTCTCTAGTCTAGTCTAACTCTAGTCAGAACTAAACATTTACAGTGGCCACATGGTCACTGTCCATCAATCATTAAACTTTTGACACCATACCTAATGTAGGAAGCTCCATCAAGACAGTCCTAGGTACTAATGTCTGAGAAACAAACATCGCAATTATTTTATTGATCTGTTCCTCAGATACATGATGGGAAATTACAATAGATGCACTGAATACTATTGTTTCAAAGCCTTGAATGTTACGTTATCGACTAAGATCTTAGTAATACGGCCTTTTTCCAAACTGTAAAACCCGATTCAAATACCTATGTAGAAATACACATTACAGTAGCTCGACAGGACGATGTTAAATTGTATAATATTTATGTATTTAAGTATTTAAGTCTCATGTAGGGGTTGTGTGAACTGGTGAGGGTGACATAACTTCTCTGATATATATCTAGACCTTGTTAATGATTTCCTTTCATTTACATAGAGTATCCTTACTAATATTATAAATCGGAAAGTGAGTTTGTTTGTTCCACTTTCACGCCATAACTACTAAACCGATCGATTGCATTGAATTTTTGCAGGTGTAAAGTTAGAAGTCTGGATTAAATAATAGGGTACTTTTTATCCCGTGAAAATTTGATATTCCCGAGGGAAAACAAAAGTATTGGTATAGATGGCGCTTTGTGTATTGGTATATGTCACATTGGCTTTTTATCCTTTTGTGACGCGAGCGAAGCCGCGGGTAAAAGCTAGTATTTAATAAGATAAGGTATGATGGGGTTGACGTATCCATATGGACAAAAACCCCTAAAAAAATAAAATAAAGGAGAATAAAAAATGTCTTACGTATTATTTATATTTGTCTACGACTGCTTTTGACTGCAGTTGCAGTAAGCTAGCTTATGCAGGTAAATATAGTTATCTTTTAATGAAGATTACAACATGAGCTTACATGGTCTGATAAAAAAAAATTAGGACTACTTATCAATCATTGAATTAAGTACTGTCGTAAAAAACATATTTTTATGCGTATTCGACTATTGGCCGGAATTGCATGCTATAAACCATTTATAGATTGTTTCTTCATGTGAATATATATAATCCTTATAAAACTAGGCGCCTAGTGTCACGTAGGTGATAACACTCGTTTTCGATAGACCACGTATCTACTTAAATAGAACCCCATATCTATGCTTCGATTTAAAATCGATACCTATTGATGAATGGCATAATCGTTTTCCTGTTTATTAGGATAAATATATTAAAGCATATCCATCATCATCATGTAATGTAGATGGTTGGCAGGCTACAACTGTGCATTTTTCTCATAACTTTCTGCCTCGTGCAGCAAAACTATGGAATGATCTATCGTCGGCGGTATTTCCGAACCGATACTACCTTCAAACCTTCGAGAAAAGAGCGTATTCCTTTTAAAAGACCGGCAACGCATCTGTGACTCCTCTGGTGTTGCGGGTGTCCATGGGCGGCGCTGATCGCTTACCATCCGGTGATCCATCTGTTCGTTTGCCTCCTTTTCATTATGTTTCTGTTGATGTATCAAATTCTTCAGTACTATATATAGTTCCTACAATGTTTTATATATATGTGTATATCTATCTATGTTTTGTATTTAAGCTAATATAATTACTTGTTTAATAAATGTACTTAGGTATACTATAATATTAATATATAGTTCCCTATCATGTTATGTAGTTATGTACGTGTGTATGTATGTATGTATATTCAATAATGAACTTTACTTTGCTTTTGATCGATTACTTATGTTAAGGAATTTGTTTATATATATAACTTGTCCTAGAATTAGTAATGTTGTGAGTGCTCCTTTCGCCTGTGATACAGGATATTCTTTCTAGTACAGGCATTCAAACCTAGTGAGATCTCTCTATCTCTCTCTCTCTCAGATTTTAAATTAAGATGTTTTTCTGTACTATGACCAATTTCTTATAATGAATAAAGATTATAAAGATTATATTCCATTATAAAAAAGCTTTTCTAAGATTTCAATTACTATGTAGATCAATAGATGCTAATTAATAAGTGACTTCTGCATAACCAGACGTGTCTATAAACTTACATACGTGTAGTGTGCACAAAATAAATGAATTGAATGAATTTGACGCACCAGGTGTCATAAGCATCGCGAGACAATCTCCCGCTCCGTTTCGCGCGCGCCTCAAGGAGCCATCAGACCATCACAGATGGGGCCTAACAGGGCTGATGCCGATACGGAGCCGCGGAAGACTTAACAGGTTGCCGGGGCTCCGGCTCGAAGTGCAGGAGTAGGAACGGGGTGGTTTTTAGTCAGTAAGAGTCTGACACTCCCTCCCGCCTTACCCGGGCGAGAGAAGTCAGTGGATGATTTTCCCCCCTCAAAAAAAAAGGTGTCATAAGCATCGAAATAGGCACTCAATTATCCTTTGCTTATTTACTTATGTATGCATTATTAAAGTAATATTTTCTTGTCCCCAGGTACATGTTCGCTGCAGTATCTGCCCACAAGTACATAATCGCGTTCTGCATCGGTGTGGAGCTGCTCGCGTCAGGCACGAAGCGATGGCTGTCAGTGATCTACATCTTCACCTTCTCCTTCATGTCAGCTCTTGGTATTGGTATTGGAATCCTGCTGGTCGGTGGCGAGGGCGCTGAAGCCGGCGTCTATTCCGTAGTGTTACAGGTAAATTATAAATGTCATTTTGTCTTCAGTTCATTTTTTTCACTAATGATAATTTAGTTTAGTTTTCAGAATAATTCTGAACGGTTTTTCAGTAAGGTATAGTAACGGGAAAGTGATTTTTAAATATAGATATAATTAAACTATGGTAAGTAGGTAGTACATATTTAAAATCGCATGTTTAGTTGAAATTAAAATGTATTCAATATTCAATGCTAAAATAAATATTCTAGAAGATAAATGAATTGACTCTTGCTAATCATTTTAAGGTCGATCATTAATTGAATGCAAATAATTCAATTTAAATCCAATTCAAGATCAAGATATTTTTTACCCAACCGCATTATGACAATTGATGATTAGCAATGGCCGGTATCTAGTAAACACGGAGGTCCTTGCTTGTTCTTCTCCTTATAAATCTTACACAACGGATTGAGTATAACCGCGTTAAGTACCAACAGACAGACTTTTTTTTTTTTTTTTAAGGGGGGAAAATCATCGAATGACTGCCCCCGCCTGGGTGAGGCGGGAGGGAGTGTCAGACTCTTACTGACTAAAAACCACCCCGTTCCTTCTCCTGCACGTCGAGCCGGAGCCCCGGTTACCCGTTAGGTTCTCCGCGACACCAACAGACAGACTACAACTAATATATACACACATACATAACCTCACGCCCGTCTCCCATGGGAGTAGGCAGAGACTATAGAACGCCAATATACCACTTTTTGTACAACAACTTATACAATGGATGGCATTCTTTACCAGCCAACGGCAGGGTGATGCAGAGAAGAGTTAGAGTTTTCATTTTATTCACAAAATTAAAGTAGCTTTGTAATGTCCAAATACCCAAACGCGAACGCTACTCAATTTGAAGTACCGCTTAAGTATCTATAGTTCTGTCACTACAAATTCTTTGTTAAATAATAGAGATGGCATGATATTTAAGTACAACTTAAAATTTAGTAGTCTTTCAGAGGCCTTAGTACGACTTTGTTTTACGTTTAAAGTAATCATAACGAGTACGCATTCGTCGCTCTGATTGGTTATTTCATTGGCGCCGGCCAATCAGAGTGACGAACGCGTACTCGTTTCGAATAATTCAAACGTAAAACAAACTTGTACTACGGCCTCAGTATTCGGGCGTAAGTCGCGATGGTCACTTATAATGCCATGGGTTCACCCGTCACCAGTAATTGACGTCAGCGGAGGAGTTGCTTTCAACAGCTGTTTGACAGTCAAAGACTTAAGGAGCCCGCAGGTTTCTCAAGCATGAGGGCACGGATTGTGGGCTCGTACACAAAACTGCGACGCAATGCAATGCGAATTCGCAACGCAAAAAATTACGATGCAAATTGCTGCGATGCGATTTCGTGCGATAAGGCGTCTTCCAGGGTGACCATTCCTTCGAAGACCGTCAACCGTACTAAACGTATTTTTAATTGAAAAATAGGGCGTGACATTGATCGTAAAAAGAAGTGTGTACGTCTCTTATTGCTTAGGAGATACAAGACAAATAGTCAAAGAAGATTTTAGGAACCTAAGATTTCGATGCGCGATTCGAATCAATTCGCAAGTTCTTGCTATGCGTAGAGGGAGCTCGCACATTTTTGCGATTCAATATCGCATAGCAGTTTTGTGTACGAGCCCTAAATAAGGTTTATAAGTTAATTTAGATATTACTGACTTACGACAAAGGCAACCAACATACCAAATCCTGGACTTATAATAACAAATTATTATTTTGTACCTAATTGCCAATCCGGTTTGAGCAAGTTTATTTCTATTTACATGAACATGTGATCATGTTGTTTGACTTGATTTCGCAGAAAATGCGACCTTATCGATTCCCAGCTTTAGGTACTTACGAAAGATAGAAGATGATAGATTACAGACAGGATAATAAATTAAAAACCAATTATCTCCGCAACGAAAAGTACCGAGATACGAAATTATTTACGAAGAAATTTCGATAATTTAACGCAAATTGCATTCCACGAACGTAATATTATTAATATGTCGATATTTATCAAAGACTATTTATCCTCGAATCCTTTTTATCTAAATACTTATTATGCTACGGAATTATCTACATAAGCTTAACAATTTTTATTAATTAGTTGTCATACAATGATAGTTTTGCGCCAAAAGTAATTAAATTGCAATTAAATACGTCATAGGTAGGTAATTATTTAATTATTTTTAGACACTATTTGATTGTGTTATCGACATAGACATGTATGTATTTGTATACTATCTGAGATTGAAGGTCCGATGCGACAGTTACGTACATGTAGGAAATCACGCAAGCTTTTATTTCAATAGTTTTACAGCAGTAATTCAATCTTATTTCAATGTTTTTGGATTGAATTACTTCGCATTTAGGATTTAACTGACTACACTTGTACCTGTGTAGTGTAAACTACATTATTAGCTTCTGTTTCATATCACTTATATGAGAAATGATACTCCACTACCTACGCCTTTATGAACAACAAGAACGGTATTAGATAGGTACTTATGTAGGACCTACCTACTTATATAGTTAAAAATAGATGGACCTGATAGTGTAGGCTTAACTATTCTACCAATTTACTTAATCCGTCTGAATTATTAAACCTGAAATAATTCTGTTGGTCAACGTCAACAAACATGCACCCACAGTATACTCATCTCTGCATTACTTTCAGGTTAGATTGGTAGATAATGCTTACGGCATCTAATGGACCTATTGTGTCTATAATCATGTGCATATTTATTAAATAAATAGGCAAGTGGAATAATAAATAAGAGTGTGGAAGGAGGACTGCCGAGTATATGTGTTGTACCCATTTTAGCCATAGGTACCTACAACAATCATACCTGCACTAACTACTTATATTACTGAGAACCCTCTTTCCTGTTCTAAGTAGGTACCTAGGTCCCATATTCCTAATGATGTAAATGCGAAACTCCGCCTTCGACGCACTGAGAAAATACATAGTAACAATAGATACCTTACTTACCTAATGTGTATTGAATTGGTATAACACCTCTAGAGTTTTTGTGATCTTCTTTAAAAGTTTATTAACCTTCTTTATCAATGTTTCCAGGGTCTGGCGTGTGGTACCCTGGTGTACGTGGTGTTCTTCGAGGTATGGAAGGGCTGCAACGGTCTCCTGCAGTTCTCTTGCGCTCTCTTCGGGTTCGCTGTAATGGTCTGTCTGGAGCTCATCGTCGAGCTTTGTAAGTTGAGATAAATTTAAATGTAGCCTCCGGTTTAAGTTTGCCTATGCATTGTAGGTAGGTATTTGTGGTTTCATTGAATCAGTTACTTACCGATGCACAAATGTATATGACAAAGTATCCATGGATACTGTCCTAAGCTCGTTGGGACGCATTGCATAGAATGGGATCAATTACATAATATAACATAACATCACACCTTTTATCCTCGATGGGGTAGGCAGAGGTGTACATTATGCCACTGAACAATCTAACCACTTTTCACTAATTATGTTATGAGTCCCATGCAATAGGGGGTGAGCCTATTGCCATATACCGGGCACGATTCGACTCCGTGCTACCACTGAGAATTTTTAAAAACCCAGTAGTACGTTGCCTGACCCGGGAATCGAACCTGAGACCCCTTACCCGGCAGTCGCACTTGCGACCACTCTGCCAACGAGGCAGTCAATGGGGTTAATTATCTAGTTTATATGTACCTAATTCTAGCAGAGAGGCTAGGATCATATCCCGCGTGTGTGAACCAATAACGAGTGCAAAGGGAAGTAGACCCTATCGTCATCCATTGAGGTCGATATCTACCTACCTACTTAGATATTTCTTTTAACGTGTTTCTAAAACGGCAATATGTAGCTGCAACATAGTGCTCCGTGGCAACATTGAGGTGCGAATCTAAGAAGAAATTTTCCTATGAAAACTTACGACCATTGAGATTGTATAATACTGGGTAGGTTACATAGAGATTATGTAGTAGGTAAATACCTACATATCTATTATTAGGTATTATGCCATCATCCGGAATATTTTTTATTGTTGCTTTGAATAAGCATCATTAGCACCTTCTGGGGCATTCCGGCAGCAGTAAAAACTGTTTGTTTACCTGCCCATTTTTTGGCTAATCTCGATTTGACTAGACTGTCCTAATCAGAGAGTTGAGGTTTAGCGTTTATTTCCGAAATTAGACAAAGTATTTTTATGTATGTTTTTCTATAAATTGGACCTCGAGGTCTGAAGGACTTGATCTTATACTTCGTTAGACAAATTTCGGTACCTTATCTAGATAAAATGGGCTATTATTTGAATTACCAAAACCAGAATAGGATAATAGCTCCATGCTACAAAGACAGTATGAAACCTAAATTAATTATTATGTTTCGGTCCTTCCACGTAACTGTTTTACGAGAAATTCGACTAGTTTCAAGCCATGATAGAGGCTCATACTCATGAGCAACATTAAACGAGTCGCTAAACAGCAGGCTAGTCGAATTTCTTGTCAAACAGTTACATGACTAAGCCGAAAATATAATAATTAATTTAGTATGTTTCACGAAAGTATGAGTACGAAACTTGTTCGACATAATAGAATTGGCATTCAACTTTATTATTGCATCTCTCTATCATTTTTAAACGTTTCAAGGCAATACTATTAACTATAATATTCTATGTGCTAATACTTATAAGGAACAATGCGTTTGATATGTTAATTTTAACCAAAAACCCTAAATAAAACTATATAAAAAACTATAATATTATATACCTCTTTCTTTCCAGTGATGTGAGGAGACCACGACTAGTGCTGGAACGACGTGGAATCATTGAAATTACCGATATATTTATATTTATACATTTTCTACTTCGAATAGTCACGTTTAGCATGTAAATTCAGTAAATAGTTGACAATTTAATGTGACATGTGTTCGTCTAAGCAGTAGTGGCTCGTCGGTAACAAAATGTGTTCTACGTGACTATACGAGGGTACGGAAGGTTGATACCTAGTCAAAGCGAGTATTACACAGTCCGTCAGTCGACTGAGTACTAAACAATATGGCCCAGTTAGTTCCTTGTTTATTATATTGTAAGTATGTAAATAATCGTTGTTTTTTTAATAAATATTATTAAAAATATGCTGTTTTATTCAATTTTTGGGTACGAGGAAATAATACAACCATTTGTAATTTAACAAATCAATAATGTAATTAGAAATTAACAGTTTATACTATCATTTTATCTATTCTTAAAGAAAATAGATATAATAATTTTTATCCTAAATAGTTAATATTTTAGGCTGATTAAAATCATTATACAGATTATGCAGGCGGTAAATTTACACATCTATTGGTTAAATTGGATAGCTGTTACAAAACAATCTACGAGGCTGCGCACGCGCCGACGCGCTGTGTCGGCGACACACTGACACAGTGGCGCTAGCGGTCGACGGCACAACGCGACAGTAGAAGGTCCACAGCTCAAAAGTTACGAGATAACACTGTTAAAATATTTCTTTATTAAAATATGATGTACTTAGATAAATGTCCGCGTACCGTCGGTACACGTATATCCTTAGAAACTAATACGATTGAGAGAAAAAGACATAGAGAAATTTTCGAAAACTCTTAACACTAACTGGTACACGAGTATAATAATTTGTCAAGCCGCTGCCTTTAACATCCTACACATTACTCCTAAGGCCGGTACATTTTATTCGTCATACTTACAACAATACACTTTAAGTAATAATAAAGTTTTAAATATTCAACTAACGATCTCATATTATACTATTGCATTATATTCTGTAATCACATTACAACGCTATCAAGTATCATGTTCCTATATCTACCAGTTACTGAAGCCCAGTATCGGAACATCACAACAGATCAAGTTCGACACAGGAGTCACTGAGTTGGCTAAGACCGACTTCCACGACAATTCGAAAAGGAAAATTAAGCTAAACATATATCTTTCTTAATTACATCACTGCCCTTGTCTATAACAATATGGCAGATATACAAGATCATATTTGACTCCAATTTTGATTGCAGAATTATCGTGAAAGTAGGTCTTATGGAGCTAACAATAACTGGAAAGTCGTTTACACGCTCAGGGTCATTCGTCTTTCTTTTCACATTACTTAACTTTCTTTATCCGACTTAGCGAGCGACGCCGTGTAAAAGCGCTTAATAAATTCTACGCAATCACTAAATAAAACATAAAGATCAAAGCTTCGACTGTTAAAATCTGTAACTTATTCAATATTAAATGCATCATATGACAAACGTTGAAATAAAACAGAACTAAATTAAACTACGAATTCAGGCACCATTATCTTAATCTAATAAATTAATAGAAACTGTACATTCGATTTCAATACGAACGTACTACAAATAAACACTAAACTGAACTATCAGATAGGTACAAAGAATGACGAGACGAACAATCTCAACAAATATCATAATACTACATAATATTTAATTTTTAAAATCTCACTAATGTTTTAAAGACGAAGACTTGTTGATAGGTACTGTTTGCTTATCAAAGAAGTGAGGGATTCTGTAACACACGTGCAGATACGTCACGACGCCATTTAATGGCGGGAAACAGTTTGAGCTTCGAGGTTTAACTACGTCCGGCGCCATCTTGTAATCTTTGCACACCTTAATTATTTATTGCATTCCAAGTGCAAATGAGATATCTAAATATTATTTTATTTCATAAAGACTTTGTGCTACAATTAAGTGCGATTCAATGGAACAAATGGCTGTTTAGCCCTTCAAAGTCATCTGAAAATAGTTATGTAGGTAGTGCATATTTTTAAAAATTCATTGTAAAAATAATAGCTTTGTTTTCTATTTTAATATCTACAGGCGAGGTGTAGGCATTGCGTTCAGGCTCTGACTGTAATTTATGAGAACGGTAAACACAGTGACGTAGTGTGACTATTTAAATACGTAAATGATAAGTGTATTAACGTGTGTGTGACGTACTTAATGAACAAAATTTTGGCACATTGCTCAAATCATAAATAGGTAATTCTTCTTTGCAAATGATTAATTTTATGAGATTGTATTTATTTAAGAGACTAAGTAGATCATAGCACGATGTTATTTGTAAGGAATTATTTATTAAGTAAGTAGATATTTCTTAATTGAAGCATTAATTTGAACATTAATATCGAATTACTTTTACTTATTGTTTTTTACGATTTGTAAATACAATCTCAGATGAATGTAGACTTCATTGCAAACGCAACTTAACTTAAAAATAAGGCAAGAATAAATAAATTAGGAAATTGCAATCTCAAAGTTGAAATGAACATAGTCAGGTAAGTACAGTTACGAATACAATTCATTTTGATGGACAAGACAATATTTAGTAGAATACTTGACAATTTGACTAGGAACACGTCAGTCAATTTGTCCACAAGCCTCGTACAATAACGACATAAATCAAATTATTGCAATTTTTATACTATACGTGAATAATATAACTGTACTTACCACAATATAACGCTTAAGAGACTCTTAAAATGACGCTTACCAACCATATATTCATTTCATATTTCTCCCATCGCCAAACTCATTATGTTGGTTTCTTAACATTATTTGTAATAGTTTATTTACTGTTTGTAATTTATATCTAATTGAAATAAATAAGTGTAAGTAAGTAAGCGTCATTTTAGTGGGTTTATTCAAGTGCGTGGTGCTTAAGACTTGAGGAGCTTGTTCGCGCGCTGATTGGCCACTGCTATGCGCGTCTCGTTGCTCTCACCCTATAAAAAAACCTCATTGTACTCTTCTATAAACACAGCAAAATTGTCACAGATACATAAATCTTATTTCTTTAAAAATAAACCTTATTTCTTTGGAAATAAGGTTTATTTCCTTGGAAATAAGGTAGAACATTAGCTTTAGGTTACAAGGGAGATACAGGTTTGGTCAAACAAATACAAAATTAATAAATAGACACAAAACAAAACCAAACAACGAAATAAACAGAAGAATAGAGTAACACGATTTGTCATCGCAAACGGAAAAACAAAAACAAATGAGTTGAAGGTATTTGTAAAAGAAGAAATAAGAGAACTACAGACAGAGCGAAAAGACAGAACGAAAAAGGAAGAGGGTTAAAACCGGAGGAAATTAAACGAAAAAAAAAGAAATGCCAATAATCATTTAGGTTATTTTACAATATTGTTAGAATGTGAGAGACATTTGCAACTTTGCAAACTGTCGAGCACAAAGCTGTGTTCACATGTAAGAGCACCAAGTCTATATATTTCTTTATATTTACACAAAAGATGTTAACAATATCAATAGCAATAATTCCAAAATAAATTTGTATTGTGCTGCTACATACGACACATCTTAATCTTGTAAGCCTTTTTATCTTTCAGCGATTTTCGGCTTCAAGCGGCAACGCCATAGCGTCTTATTATAAGTGACATAAAAGCCAATTTTGTGCTGCTTCAATCGCTTTAAGTGCAAGCTGTGCTCCGCTTTATAAAAGTGCTTTTTTATTAAAAAAATATACTCACGATCATCAGCGACGTGTGTGTTTAGTTTGTTTGTGTGTGTGCAGTCTCGTGGAAGAATGCATTTTATTTAAGTCACCTATTTGCTTGTAGCTTTTTAAATATCGGTTTGATAACCATTTCCCCCCAGGGATGTCTGAATTAGTTCTTCAATCTAAGTTAAATTAATTCTAGCAATTTACCTATAAATATTTCCTAAATAATTATATCGTATTCATTACTTAAAGTATACTGCGACGACCCTACCACAACTTCTTTCCTTACACCTTCATTTATTTATAATTTAAACATATACTTTCTTGATTATGTCTTATTTGCAGTTACTATTAAAAAATAATGGCGACACCACAATAATTACAGATTATTAATAACCATTAGTAAAACAACTTCAATAAAATAAATTCGAAAAAAAGGGAAAATAAATAACTTAAATCACTTTTGTAAATGAAATGATTTATTTCTTCATAAAATAAATAAAAATTACTAATTTAATAATAAATTACGATAGATTTATCGCTAGTTAAGATAGCTACATTGTTATACTAAGTTACATTATATAAGTAGGTAGCGTCTTCATACTATTTCATAGAAGCAGATATGTATATTGCAGAGATATGTCAAAGCCATTATATATTTGTAACCATGAATATTATAGGACTATAGTAAGACACGTGTAGACACAAATTTTCTTAAATATTTGATCCATAGGTAAGGAAGGATATATTTGTTATTTTCCGATCCCAACTTCATAAATGCTCCTATGAAACGTATTTAAAATAAATGATGAGATCTGATGCATTTCAGATGACGAGTTTTCTCGAAGACATGTGACTGTCTAATGTCTATTCACTTAAATTCAAACTATTATCACATATCGACTCATACTTATTCTTACCATTCATGATACCCATTTATTCATCCCTCTTACGATAGCCTATTTACGAACAGTAGGTATGTGTTCTAACTGTTCTCAATGTATTTTAGATTAATAGCCAAGATTAAATCATAATACTTGCATCGATAAAATGTGTTTACGAAGAGAATATCGTGTGGAAAACTCTGATCTTGGTGAGATTTGATCCCATGATCCCTTTGAAGTTAACAACTTTTCATTTAAATAACTTTCATATATCTTGTGGTTATAAGTAACTTGTTTAAAATAATAATTTCATAGTTTAAATCTGCATCAAGCAACGATAGTTATAATTTATCTAGCTTCAACAGTAACACTACATATTAACATGGGGTAAATGCATTTTCTCAAAATAAATCTCACGCTTCCACCTCCTAACTGTTATATCGTGTAGTAGTTATATAATAATTTAAATATACTAGACAATGGCGTAAATACGATTAAGTATAATTTATATAACTTCAACATGTTCTACTGCATGAAATGAGCACCAAAAACTATTCATAAAATTATGTAGTTTTATGTGAGGTAGCCAGCTCAAACAATTTTGTTCTACAACCAAATCTGTTGATGGAAAGTCGAATTCCATGTATTTTTTTCTGAGTAGAGTGCGCCACTGTCGTTTATGGCACTACTTGGACGCAATTTATTGTATTTCTGCATACATATTCCAGTACATTTCTAACAATATGGAAGTACCCCCAACAAAACTACATCGTGTACTTATATTTTCAACATTTCAACAACATGTACTTAAAAGTTGAGCGTTAAGAAAAAGCTGTAATAAATAGTAGTGATAAAGGAACGAGTGTTCACTTAATACAGTAGCATGCTAGGATTACATGTTTAATATTAATTTTACAATTGGATAAATGTATCTCGAGATAGAAGAGAGACACTAAGCAAAAATATTTCATTTCTAAATTATATTGTACACCGGTTACAGATACATAGGGCATTCACCTAACTTAAACATAAGAAACTTACTTGTCAACCTAAAAGTGAGCATTGTGTTGCAGCATCGCGTTGCTGTGTTCTTGGAAGTCTGTTTTTTGCAGGTATAGGGCAACAATGCTTCCTGCTTTTATACATACATGTTGAATAATATTCTAAATTTAACCGCAAATAAATAGTCCTGTCGGTAGATTGCTTGTAGTTTTGAAATGATGCAATAAGATTGCGTATTGAGTAATGGTAATGTATCTGCAACCGGTGTGAGGGCGTGTCGCCCGCATGTGACCACGAGACCGAGTGGTGTGTATGTGTGTGTGTGTGTGGTGGTGTGCGGCGGCGCCGTCCTTTACTTGAGGAGCTCGTGCGCGCGCTGGTTCGCCAGAGTTATCCTCGTTTCGTTCGATTCGCCCTATGATTAGAACACGCGATTTGTTTTTGCTAGTTGTTCAATTCACAGCGACTTTCTCTTTGTATATTATATTCAGTATGTCATTTGGCCCAGTTACACAGACGAGTAAAGAAGAAGGAGTAATCATGAGGTTACCCTGAGGACATTCAAAAATTTACTCATTTTTCTTTACATCGCCGTGTTAGATGAATATTGAAATTGTACAGTACACAGTAATAATCAAGTGTGTTGGACGGCCATCAGTCGCTGTCTTTTGAAACAAAAACAATGTTCCGTTAGCATTGATGTGAATGACAGTGTTAGTTATGGAGTCTAATTCTGGATATATCATGTTAGTCTGGATGGATGTGACAACTAGTAACAATAACACAATGGTCGTGTGGGATGTGTACGGAGTATTTCGTAGCATGTCTTATACTGTCAGTCGGAAGACACAAAGAAAAATTTCACAACAACCAATTTCTAATCACATACTCTACCAAGTATGAAGAGACATGCGTCGGGTGACAGAAGGAAGTGAATCGATTGCCAGGTAAGCGAGTGACCGGATCATTAGGATGCCAATAAGCTAGAAGATAGTTGATAGACACAGAAGACAACTAGTCGCACGTCCACGGCTAACGTGACAGGCACAAACAGATGGTGAAAATGTAGATGAACAACATCGGGACATCACGAAACATGTTCAGACAGGTTTCACAATGTCCCAGTAGTGTAAAATTTTACTCAAACCACACACTATTGCTTCAACTATGTATTTACAAGGGAAGTAAAATCTTACACTGCAAGTCAATAAAACGACAACATCAATAATTGATATTAGAAAAAAATACTGATTAAGAATAGTCTTATATCAGTGTCGAAGAGTAGAGACTGTAGATAAATCTATTAGAAGAAAATTAGTTTGGAAGTGCACGCGAAACAGTCTTTCATAACAGAAAAGAAGTAATTAAAATAATGAGATAGATATAATGATTTAGGATACTAACTGACTATTTGAAACAGAAGTGTTTTATGTGTATAAGATCAAATTGTTGATAGAATTTTAACAGGAATGTTTCTTCGTGTTTGTAGTATACTTATTTTTAGCCATTCGTATTTCACAAATAAAATCTTAATGAAGAAACGTTTATCCCATAATAACGTTATACCAGTATAAACAGTGTTCTTACTTAATTTATAATATTGCTAGTCTTTGAACAATACAGTCTCAATAAAGCGATCTAGTAAGAAACCCTTTCATCGCCATAATTTATACTAAATATGTCATATGAAAGGTAAGAAGAAATCAGTTAAAAAGCTAGTCAATACTGATACTTCTGTCTTGTCTTCCTTTTTCATAGTCCTAGTACGTAACCTTAATCTTCGTCAGGAAAGTCTATACAAAAAAACCCTATAGTTCTCCTAGCCAGACGGGTTCGCGTGCACATGTGATCGGTCTGCCAGCCACGGCAGGTTACCTTGCGGTTGATGCGGTCGATCTGGCGGTTCTGGTTCTCCAGCTCGGAGCCCATGTCCAGCGCCATGTTGCGCAGGTTGCCGATCATCGTGTTCACCTGGCCCATGTTCTCTTCCATCTCATCTTCTCGAGCGTCGTTTGTTATCCTAAATAGATCATAGATAATGTTTATTTCTGTTAAAAGGCTACACAATTGCAGATTTTTACGTCCATGAAGTGTGAATTTATTTAATTTTTAGGTATAGACGCGAGAGTAATTGTGTACTTGCTTTAATCAAAAATAATTTATTTCGACTGTTCAATACAATAAAATATTACAAAATAATCACACTTTCATTAATTGATTTTATAACCAACTTAATTTTAGTATTTTTCCAGCAACATTTTACGAAATAAGTATGCTGTTTGACGCTAAAATAACGTAACTTCACAATACTTACACAATCACGTACCAAATTAATAGAAAAGTGTCTTTTTTGACTAGTTGGCAAGTAACCAATTCTGGCGGTTCATTTGTTTTTACGTTTAAAACTCAGAGTCGATTTTAATGATATTTTAGTGATTTTGAGAACTAGCTGACTGCTAAAATATACAAGTTTGTTCGAAGTAATTCATGTTGCTACAAGGCTGTTTTATTTTTAAAATGCTTGTTATTAGGGTTTCTTAATTCGTTACGATATAAGGTAATGATAAGTTGATCTTACCTTCCTATGTATCCAGCTTGTGGTCCTATCCCGTTGCGCTCGTCCATCACCCTCTGCGGCTGGTTGTTGACCACCTTGCCGTCGTCGTTCCCCTTCCACGTGCCGTCATCCTCCTTGAATGACGCACCCCTGGAATGTCACACAATCATATTACATTACGGTGTAACAGTTTCACATCCCAACCTGGAACAACAAACCCAGGACATGCAAAAACACCACTTCTCATGGAGCAGTTGACAAGACAATGAATAGCGACGCAGAAGAGAACATTTCGTCAAAACCTTGCTTTGAGAGTAACAGATGTGATTACAGTGCTTGAAGCTGAATGATATCAAATGTATAGGTTATGTCTTATGAATTGCAAAGGAAAATAATCAGTATGGTTAGCGGCTCGTTGGAACCGGCGTGCGAGCGCGGAAGCTAGTCGTGTAAGTGTGTGGTACGCACTTGTTGCACGGCAGCACACAGATCCCGCAACATTTCTCCATGCCCGAGAGGTTCTTCTCTGCCTCGCGCATGTCCGCGTTGATCTGATCCATGCCCTCCTCGATTCTGTCCAATTGCTCTGTTCACACACATCAACACACGCTTTAGATCCACTCTTGTCAGTCAACCTGCATTATGTGTTCAAGCTCCTAGCTCTTTTTTCTTTAAATATTAATCTCGCGATTTTAATAGTTTTGAATCATTTCATTTAAATTGTAAATTCTCAACGCTCTCGACAATAACCAGCGCTAAGTGTAAGACATGTATTCTGTAACGGCAACGAGTTATATCAACTAGTTCTGTCCATGCAAGCTGACAATCTAGAGCAATTCTATGTCATCACATTTCAACACTAATATTTAAGCATCTAATTCATATTTAACTGAACATCTTTTGTGGTGCTTGTGTCGTATGTCTTACACTTGATCTGGTTAAAACTAATTCAAGAAAAATCATTTACCTTTGAATAAAATGATGTACGTGCTGATACTAAGTGATTACATTACCGTACTCGTAGTGTACTAACAATTAGATAATATCAACTAATATCACTTATAAAAATCTAATCATGCAATAAACAGCAATATTGAAGAAGACGTGCATAGCTGGATGCGTGACAAAGAACTAAATAATAAAATAATTAATAGGGTTTAACTGAATCAGATAATCTCATGGTCCCAGTTCACAGGCTCACTGCGCTGGCAGCGGGAGCACAGAGATCGTTTGATGCACTTTATTCTCTAGGTTTAGTTATGATCATGACAAACAAGTTTTACCTTCAGTTTTTATCCTTTATTAATAAACTGTTAGCAGATTTTCAATCGGTAACATAATTTATTGTCATCAAGTCATTGCCATTCAACGAACTTTCATAAATTATCTGAACTGGCATTTCAGACAAAAGCTTTACTAAATTATGAGTGATGCAAAATAGTATGTTCTACTGGATGCTTACCGCCCTGTTCATCCAGCATGACCAGGGTTTTCATGCCCACCTCGTGACTCTACAACACAATAATGATGTCACTATAGCTCGCCAAACGAATGCGGTGAGGAGTCGGGAGCGGCGCGCGCGCAGGCAGCCCCGGCCGCGCGGGCGTCGCTAACTCATACCAACACAAACAAACTGATAACTAAACAGAAACAAAACATGGACATGGAGCGACGGGCGCTTGGCCCGCCGCCGGGTGATCATGGGACAAAATAAATCAACTTAGCAAATGAGCGTATCCAGTAAGTAAGCCATTCCTAAATGAAACGTGAAATAGCAAAGTATTGATTTATTGAAGAAGAAAAATGAACAAACTAATATGTAGTGCGGCGAGGGGCCTCGCGGCCTCGCCGACAGACACAGACGCATCGAGCTAACAGTTACAGACCTACAGCTAACATGAACAGTACGCTGCCAGCCATGGAGATGAAGGCGGATACCAGTTACTCTATACGTCGAACAGACATCGGTAAACGCGCATTCATTTCAGTACCGCAGTTACGGAAGAGAACAGTAGATTCGGAAAGATAAATAAATATACCTATAAAAAGCGATCGAATTCAACGGAAGAACTAAACAGATTGCGCAGCTCATTCAAATTAAATCTTCAGCAAAAGATAGAGTAACAGTCTTTTGCGACAATTAGCAACGAACGGCCATCGGGCTTCTATTTACACTATATGTCAAGGTCATCCCCATCGAAACATAGATACACACGCAACATCGATCTCAGATAAGTCGTTAGGTAAGAGAAACGTCAAAGAAAAACAAAGAGATTAATTTTATTAACTGCACATTCAAACACAGACGTTCTCACGTTTCGACTACCCATGTGTCAGTTTAACTCTTACCGCCCTGGTGACTCAACATATGAAGCGCTTGCCCCCCGGCGTCCTCGCTCTATACATAAAATACAAATCAAAATAATATATCGTAGGAGAGAGTATCGGGGTGTGTGGGTGGGTGGGTGCGGTGCGCCGGTCGGTCGCACGGGCGCGGCGTGAGGCGCGAGCAGCTGCGGCGGCGTGACGCGGCCTACGGGCGTGGCGGGCGTGGCGGGCGTGCCGGGCGACGCGTGCGGCGTGCTAACACACACTACTCGATCACAACCACATGCATGCAGTGAAGCTTGCAAGTAAAACCAGATTCAGTTTCATCTGTGCTCAGTTTCATATGATTCATGATTTATTGTGTGATGTCAAGAGTCGTGCGTTGAGGAGAAGCGTTTCGAATTTACTTTGCTCGTTCATTTAGATTCGTTTTATGTGAAATCAGTAAAGTTGTTTAAATTAGAGTCGAGTACGAACAATATCTGAAATGCAGAATGTATAAGGTATCGGTACGCCGGAATATATACGTTTGTATGTCGATCGTTCGGCCTGCCTGGCGTCGTACAAGATAGAGCTCGTTGTTAAGTTGTGCAAAGTGGTGTATATTATCTACATACGAATAAATATACAAAGATGTGGGTTTTCCGTGGTCATCTCCGTGTGTGAGTCTTACAATGTAAACGGTCATTTCTCAGAGGATGCCCGCACCTTTGCATTGTAATAGCAGTGACGTAATTTTAAATACATAATCAATGCGATACCCCCTTAAACTCTTCTACATCGGTGAGCCCATCTTCGGGTCGGCTGAAAACCCTACGATGCTCAACAAAGTTAGCGAAAAAGGATAAAATAGATAAAATTGTAAATAATGTAGTGTTGCAAATTTTGCAGATCACTCACCTCCCTGGTCATCTAGAGCGACCAGAGTACGAATGCCGGCCTCCTTGCTCTACGCCGCAGAAACAAAAAGTCACAGAGCATGTTAGTTGTGAGGGGTACAGTAGAGTGAGTGGACAGTGGGTTCGGGCCCGGCGGGCGCCACGCGGCGGCGCGAGCGTGGCGCGTCACTTGTACAGTCAGATGTTGCACTTGTATGTCACGCGGGAGGACGCCGCCCAGCATCGCTACCTCACCACCTCGCCATCAAAGGGCATTTACTACTGATGCCAGAGGCCAACGATGTGAATTTTGGTTCAGTGGCGATTGGCTGGATGACGTCCTCCCTGGTGTTTGAACTGTGTTGTTGAGAGTAATGCTGAGTCTGTACAGTGTCGTATACCATGTTATATTCGGCGCATACATTTCAGCATATAAAATTAATAATATAAAACAATAATCGCAACATATTACGTAAATAATTAGGTATCCTCTATAAAGATTGTGAACTAAAATATTGTAAATCAAAAGTAAGAAATAATATGAATACAGTAATGTGGGTAATACTGGTTATATCGGTTAGGTCCATGTAGGTATATTGTGTGAGAGTCAGCATCAGGTGTAGCTCGATATATTTGTTGGAGTTCAGTGGTAGGTACGGGGTGTGTTCACGCCCACATATTGACAGTAATGTGAATGTTCGAGAAGGCATGAAAATCATACAACATAATAGATGTACAGTCAACAACAGAGAGCAGCCACTACAACAGAGACCTAAGATACAGATCAACTAAAACAGGATAGAACGAACATCAACATACACTGATCACGAATTCACGATGTACGCAATGCCAAGGTTCGCTAGATCAGTTAGTGTTGGAACGTTACGTACGGAAACAAAGAAACACAGAGAACAACCATGTCATCTATGAAGAGTACAAGTATCGTTACCAGACAGGAAATAAATAGAATAGAAAGTGCGTTAAAACAGTGAGTCAGCCTCGGACGCGGATACCTGCTCTGAGGATCCGAGAGGTAGACAGGGTCTCATTAGAAAGCAAGCCCAAGCAAAAATGGATTCACTAGTTTTTTTTTTAGACTCAAAAGCGCACGTATTCGGTCAAGTAACGTACTAAAAGGGGTACTAACGTTAGAGAAGTATTCAAACTAAAGATGGGACTTGGATTCTATTGTGGACAATGATGGGCTTCATGCTTTGAAACCTAAAACAGCAATCGGGCGAAATTACAGGAGCTGACGGTTAAACACTTTTGAGTTTATAATTAGCGTCTTTGACGTAAACTTGAGGAGGTAACGTAACAATAAGAGTTTAGTTAATTAACTGTCAGCGCCGAGGGCAGTTCGCCCGGGAAGGTAAATATAATCACATAAATGTACAGTTCACTACGAACAACACAAAGGGCTATAGAAGTCTAACATATTCGGACACAGTAGGCACGGATCATGCAACACCCATATATGTATGGTAATAATAACATATAATACTGATTACATATTATACTCAAAATGTAGGGTTCAACATAAAATAAAATAAGGATTATGGCCGGATAACTACATAGATATACATACACACATTTAGAAAAAAAGATAAACAAAATAATATTTAGCGACATCGAAACACAACAGCCAGGGTTAGCAGAGGCTGCGCCCTAGGGGGTGGGACGGGCGTTAGAGACCAAACCGAGCTTGGGGCTATCCAGACACTTCCGCTATACCCCTCACTCCCTCGCATCGAGAACACCTCTCTCACAGATGATCACAAATAATTCACATAATCGACAACAGAACTCAACATAATTAAACTATGAGGGGAAACTAATTTAATTGTAACTCAAACGCGTCTACGGATATACAAGACCGCACAGTTCTATTGGATCAATTATTTAGCAATAGATAGCTTCCAGTATAGTCGCACGCTTGGAAAATTAATAGGTCGTTCAATATTAATCACACAATCATGTACAGGTCACATTAGGGGAACTTTATATGTGAACTTGGTATAAAAACAATGTATTTCCAACTCATTTTTAATGAGGGCTTAACATTGAATCCGGCTGGTTTACGACACAGGCAGAGTTTCACACTTACTTTATATACAAGTTCTTTTCGTAAATATGTAAGCATATTATTACGAAAATAGTATTCTTTAGTTAGTAATGCATTGCCCGAATCCAGGAATCGAACCTGCAAAGATACTGACAATCATCGTTTTTATACCAAATTCAAGATTAATTTATCTTAGTATCAAAGGGGAAAGAATAGTAAAGAAAATTCATATTATTTTGGGAGGTATTCTCGAAATAACACATAGGTAACTCCCAATACTCATTAGATCTAGATTAGACAGAAGATTAATGTTTAGATACGGTAACAGAGCGATATATGGGGACGATAGTTTATTACATTCTTTAATTAATTTGATGGTGACGTTTTCCCCTTAATTATAGAATTAAATCTAACTTATAATATATGAATAAAGCGTGTTTCGAACTCACCTCCTCACATAGTTGCATCATACGCCGCGTCGACTCCAGCGACTGAAATGTTGTAACAAATTCAATTATTCAACGAGTCACAACAGAAAACTTTATAAACCTCTTATTTTCTTCCATTTGTAAAAGTTCGGCGGTTCGAACAAAGGAAACTTGTTACGAACTAAACTTACAAAGTTGAGCGGAGAATAGTTTATGGCTTTTACTAAGCCCTATATTTCTCCAAGTCCCTTTTAAATGGGTGGTTAATCCAATTTCTACTTTGTCTAGTGAAATTTTCCATTTCTTCAACTTTTCTCAGTAGTGTGGGATCATAAAGTACCATACCATCTAAATTTCTTTTTATTGTGTAATAAGTCTCCAGCACTTTTTGAGTTGCCAATTCGTTACCTTATCCTTACTTACTTGGGGGTTGGAGCTGTGTCTAATTTTTCATATTATACCATTTTCACCATGTACCACTAGCGCCCCCACAACAAATAGGTTAATAATCTTCTTCGGCATCCTTAGAGCATAGACAAAGATACTGACCTCATCGGTGACTTGACCAGCGCGCAGCTGTAGCTGCTCGAGCTCGCTGCGCGGCGCGCCATTTTCGGCGGGTGGCGCTGCTGAAGGCATCCTGGAACAAGACAACTGATTTATCAAAAATTGGAAGCAATTGAAAATATGAGATCGATAATATAATGATATCGAAATTAATAAAAACCTAAAACAGAAATTTGGATCGAAAGAGTGAATTCAATTGGTTTTTATTTAAAAACAAAGTGATTTTTAGAAATAATCGGATTGTACGATATTAAAGACATTCGGTTTATTAAAGAAGCACAGCGACGTGGTGGCAAAATCCTTTTATGATTTTCTTTATATTTCTGAAAAGAAAATCACAAAAGAATTTCCCAAACGGGAGATTATTCTTTTAAGCTTTATTTATTGTAGGATCCGATGTTCAGACAGAAAGGTTAGAACATAATTCACAAATAACATTACATTAAAGTATTGCCCAAATTACTAAAGGTATTATCTACTTTAAAAATCTAAGCATGATACAAAACTTTACCGCCCTCTGGGGAGCTTAATTTAATTTAAAGTTGGGCATAAACAGGCCTGTGTAAAAGAGCTGTATAAACTTCTTTTACGTGACAAAATTGAGAATTATTCAGTATGCAGTAGATAAAGTTTATGAACCGAATTTATTTTCGCTAATTTTGCAGCGGGTAATTTTGGTAAGTGACGGCCATATTTGTTTTGTAGTCGTTAGAGAGGTGGAAGGTTATGAATTGAAGAGAGGAACGTGTGAAACTTCATAGTAATGCTTTAACTAGCTGTAGTGGCCTAGGTTAAGGCCACGGAAAGGCATTCAAGTGCCTTTGTGCCGTCCGCAAATTGCATCTGTCATTGATAACAATCTTGTTGATCTCTGTGAGACCAACAAAGCATTAAGCATTTACAAACGCATATACTGTGTTATTTCCTTTACTGGTGTAAGGACATTCTCCTATGATATTTCTTATTCTAATAATTCGTTGTACAGAATCTACTATTCAACAGCTACAAAAGTCAACCTTCCAATCGGTTAAAAGTCAATAACCGAAGTTTTATAACATCAATAAATCACATAATTCTTAGTCTACAAATAATAGTGTTTACGTCGGACCAGGCAGACGCGGTAGAGTACGTAATAAAATAATAGCGAATGTTACGCCTGGCCTTGAAGGTAACCTTACACGTAACCTTAATATGTTCGCAGTTAACATCCTGTTAGTTAACTTTACGTTCTAGTTTACGAACCACCCCTGGCTGTGACCTTGGTATTTTATAGTATTTGTTAATGCTTGCTTTGTTCTGGTCGTTGCAACGGCTGCCTATAGGAACGTCTTTGGAAATTCCGGGGTGCCGTAGTACCGGGGTGGTAGTACTGGGTTCCTTTTCCTGTACGAGTCTCTCTCAGTACAAGTCCAGATTGTTGTCCAGTGTTATAGTTTCCAGGCCTTTTTACCGAACTCTCAACTTAATACTAATGCTAACAAATACTACCCCTTCAGTAATGTAAAACTTATAAAGTTTTAAAAATGAAAGCTAGCGCTTGAGCTAGTTTATATCTAGAGTTCTAGACCAAAGGTAGTCACGTATAAATAACATTTTACAATTAGCATAAAGTAACAGAATATTCTAGAAAGTTAGTACATTACAAGTTACAACTTTCCTTTTACTAAAATATGTGGGTAGTAAGAGATGCGTGGTACTCAAATGTCAGAACATGGCCGCTCTGGAAGAACACACTTTAACCTTTAAACCTACATATCTAAAGAAATGACATTTTGTCAAAATATTTTGCTATCTTTGTGTAGAGAGAACTAACAAGGCTATTTTCTACCAAGTCACTATTGAAAGAAAACGTAGTGTTGAAAATAAGTCGGAGCGTTAAATTGTTTCTCTGTTTGTAAGAAAAATTGATAAAAAAATCCTCTATCCGAGCTTGATGACTAATGACAACAACTAAAACGCACGATCGGGGTTCCCCTTTTAGTGAAATTTACAAAAGTATCATCTGCCATGCGAATTATTTCAAAGAAAAATATTCTGACCACAAATACCGAAATTTAGTAAATCACAAAAAGCCAATAGGTAATTGTCACTCACACCCAGAATATATATAAACTTAATGCTATTTCAGAGAAAAGTCAGCTTAACAAAATAAAAGAAACATATTTATAAGCAATACAATATTTCGAATTTTTTAACCGACGATTTATTTTATTTGCCACTTCAGCCGTTAATTAGGGCATGAAGCCATTTATTCCCCAGCCTGTTTCACCGTCACATAAAAACATCGGCGCGGCTCTCGCTCCTCGACCTTTATATGGTAATGTTTAATACCGAGAGGCTCCGCGGGACCCACATAATCAACCTTTTTAACAAGCTTGTGGACCAAAAATTCATATTTATTTTAAACCCAAAGCGCTAAGGCTCCTTAGGTCAATTTCGCCACTTCATATTTTTAAAGAAATAAAGCCCGAAAATTATTTGAACCTTCGTTACAAATAAAATTAATAAACTTTAATTACATTTACTATTTGAAGCATATTTTGCTGTATTTAACATCCTGAAGAGATTACGTCACTGAATTTGTATAAAGGAGGAAAGATGTTCAAAATTGTAGGAGCCTACATTCCATTTGAATATTTACTTAATGAGTAAATTAGCATATTTTGAACTGTGAGTCACAAGGCTTTGTGCTGATAAAAGTGACGAGTTTCGGATATACTTGGATATGTTATAGAACACAGAGTACGTATTACGTTATCTATGTTATTTTTAGCTCGGGTTCAGTGCATGGCGACGCGACGGTTGGCAAATGTCGTATAAAGTATATAAACGCAGGACACCCTTGGGGTGGCACGGCCTTGACGCTGCGAACAAAGGCGGGGACAGGCAATCTCACACGTACCGCCTCGGCTAAGCCAGGATTGTTTGTGGATAGGGATTTGAGACAGTCGGGGAAAAACATTCCTGTTTTTCAACCTTCTCGTAAAGTTAAGCATTTATGTTACGCCAAATTTAGCCTTCGTCTGCTTTTATTTAAGTTTAATTTCACCCTTTAATTCCCAACTCAAACATTGACGTGCCCGTTTTAACTTTTAATGAGCTTAGAGAACAGTGAAACAGAGATATACATAGGTACTATGTACTGAATGTTTTAGCATTTAGGTACGTAAGCGAAAATTGCCTGTTTAAAGTATGCAATGGTCTGGTGGAGTCAATGCTCTCAAAACCGCTTAGTGTTGCATTCTTGATGAGTAACGCGAATAAACTGATCCCTCGTTGAGCCGTCCACTTCGGGTCGAGATTTAATAAATTAAAATCAATGTTTCTTTAGCGAAAGGTTGAACAGGTTGAGCTGAAAGTTTAAGAGTAAACGTTTTGTACTTAGTCAGTAAGTAACGACACTTTGCAATCGCTGAACTTGGGCCACGTTCAAGTTTCAGTACGTTGGCAATGTGCCAGAACCAAGCTGAACGACCCACTTCTGTCCCGACGATTACAATTGTGTATGGGCTGGTAAGTGATAAATTGGTGACTTAATATAACTTAATTCTAATACTAGATATGAGAGATATGGCGCTGATCGATGATGGTGCTCCAACGTTTAGATTATCATTGATTAAAATTACAACACAACATTTAGTTCCTCCTTAGGTAACATAACTATAGGTGTATTAACACCTGTAAGGGAAAATAATGTTAACGGTATCAAACATTTCTGCGTATTAAATGTTAGGGAAAACTTGAGCTATATAAGAATACCCATATATTCCAGTACATATAATATAACACAACGAAACACACTACCTGCTCAAGTAGAACTTCGTTCATTTTAATTTGGAACCTCGTCGCTTCGCAGTTAAAGAGCTGTCGTTAGTTATAATTACCGCTGTTGCTCGTTAGGGCGTTTGTAAACAGAGATTTGTACATACAGAATTGGGTGGTTAAATATAATAGCTGGACTCTTAACTCGTATTCAAAACAACCGACGCAAAAGAACAAAAGCCTTGGAAAACTCAAACTAAGACTTTCCTGGAATTTTCAAAAAAGCATTATTGTGAGAAAATTTTTGTTAAGGACCTTGAATTCTGAATAGAACAAGTACACATCAAACATTGACATTTAAACCAATACAAAACAATAGACGTTAATAGTTGACATAGCGTGCCGGGTTGTACCGACCTTTGAATTTTAATGACAGCCTGTAGTTAAGTCTGCACAGGTTGCCTGCGAGACCATTGTTGCTGTTTTATTCATTAACCTGTCGCCGCCTGGTACCTCGTACCCGCATCATACTCTTATCTTAATGGTCATATTCCGGAGTGACATGACATAACACGTACAAATGGGAAAGCAATGGGAAACTTGTCCTGATAACATCAGTGGTGCCTTGTATACCCGTTGTTTGGAAAAAGGTTAGTTAGATATTGTTTGATTTATTGAAGGAAACAATATTACTGATAGCGATAACTGTCGAACAATATTGGGATAGAGAGGACAGAAAATACATTACAGTTAATATGTACTATAATAACAAAACAGTAATGGTAAAATGAGTCAAGCAGCTGACACTGATCGTATCCTCTAAGTGGATCAAGATAACGGCATACTTGTTAAATTGTTGATCAAATAAGACGAAGGAAATTGTAGAGGCGTGGAAAAGTAAGATATTTCAGCGAACAGAAGACAGTTTAAGGATTTAATCAAGAAGTTAATTAATTGCTCTTAATAACGGTTGATTAGTCTCGATACTGAAAGGAACCGTGGTTTGAATATTTGAAAGCCATTCTTTAGTTCGTAACGAATGTTTCATTCAATCGGGCATTACTCATGAAGGTTGATTAAGAATCACGATTTGCTGCCAACTTAGATGAATCAGAACAATTAGCTTTGTAAACACTGATGATGTGATAAAAGAATTATTTCTGAAGGAAGTACCTGCTCACTTCACCGTGTTTGAGTAAGAACTATGTTTATACAACATTTGTATTCACATTTCAACACGTTCTGTCAACAGATAAGAGGTTTATTTCCACTTTAATATAAAAAAGTGCCTAATCATTAGGTTGGTACATA